TAGCTCATATTTAGTAATACTGTGGTGTGTGCTGCTGATGTCCATATATATAGGTAGTACGTATCATCAATCGTAGAAGAAATGCCTGAAGGTAGAAGTTTGAGATCAAAGGAAAGAGAACGAAAACAGAGAATGATTTCCGTGGAAACTAAAGATCAATGAAGTCTGAGACGATTAATTGATATTTTCCAAATGAAGTATTTACCGTATGGTTCTCAGATTTTACTAAGATGTTCTGCAATTTTGTATTCAAATCAATTCAATTGTTCTCATTCACTACATTTAGTGTCAATGCCAAACAGGAGAAGGGAAAGGTGCTGTTCTGTGGAATCTGTTGCGGACCTGGAGCTGAGGTGCTAGTTAGATCTGTCTGGTGTGGGGAAGTGACGTCGAGTGGAGTGTTCTGGCTGGGCGTATAAGATTCAAAATAAGACTTGGACTGAAGAATAGCTGTCTAGGTGGGTGTTATATCCGGTCATCGTAATTGCTGTGCCGGAAAAAATCGCTGATCACTTATACTCGGAACGAAGGACCTCTGCGATTCCCACGATGCGAAAGTAAAAACACAAAGACTGGTCATGATTTATTAACCCCAAAACACTCTGACGACGACAACTCTAGTCGAAAATACACTCATTTATATATTGACTGTACACCCATTTTGATTAATAATTAGGATTAAATCACATACTCAGTTATAACAAATCACTTACTCAGCATAGTTCATGTCAAGTGAATACAAGAATATCTCGTATATTATGATAAAGAGTAAAATATCATACGAGAAAAGAAAACAACTACTACATTGAGTAATCCTTACATTGAATCAAAATGGAAGTAATCTTGAACAAAACTCAATGAGTAAATCCATGAAAAAATTGATTTTTTCTTCCTATCATATCAGTGAGTTAGATACGCACCCTTGCCCGGTTGAAATCAAAACAAATTGATTGGGTAAAGTGACAGTTCTAAAATGCATCATAAATTTAAATGTACATTGTTACCTAAACAAATATGACCACTCAGTTATCCAACCAATAATTGTTTAATTGATCAAATCTAAACTACAGTAAATAAGGAAGTTGATAAAGGATGCAAGAAAATTACCAATCACAACAAATAAATGTTATTCTATCCTGTCTGGATAGACCACGTACAGATTCGTTGAAAAGATACTATTTGATTGCTTTATAACACAGAGTGTTTCCAATTCTGGAAGAGTGCCTCAATTCACAACCAAAAATGCACAATTTCAGTCAACACAGGTAAAGCAATCAAAAGGAGGAACAAACCAATATGGCTGACGCCAAGACTAAGTATCAAGTAAAAACAACATAAATGCAGTTCAGGAAAAAATACGGAAACTTAATGAAGGCGTAATAAAAATAAAAACCATAATAAAATGCAAATATTACCAACTCAAATGGAATCAAAAAGACTAACAAAATGCACAACTAAAGGAATCAATAGGAACAAATTGTAAGTGTATACATGGAGGGATTTTCACACACAAAACATTCAAAATAGATCTTACAGGGTGGCACTGACTTTAGTGGATAATTTCTATGGCGAGGAGCAGTGGGACGTGAAGGTGCTGGGCGGACATCGGATGTAGATGGCCCAGCGGGTCTCTGTAGCACAGGTGTTGAACGTCCCGGGTTCTGGGTGTACGTCGGATTTTGATGGCCCGGCAGGTTGACGGAAGTATCAAGGTTGATGAACCGCAGACTCGACATGTTGACGAGAAGCGTTGCACAGACTGCAGAAAAGAACAAAGTGGCACAGATAGCAGAACCACCGCATGAACGACTGTGTTTAAAGGGAGGACGGGTGTGGTACGTGTTCAGATTTTGTTAAGATGTTATCTAATTTTGTATTCAAATACATTTAACTGTCCCCGCTTGTGTTCTCCTTTACTACAATATTACAATATAATATTATATAAGCTAAAGTTCATGATAATCAATATACTTTCAAGCTTTGTGATCAAGTTAGAACCAGAATATACTAAATGCTGATATAAAGATGATGAGTAAAGTTGTGAGAGTTTGTAAACTATTCATATGATTTGAAAGAATTTTCGGAAATACCTGTTATAACTTCCCCTAATTTGATTAATTTGCATATTCTATAATGAAAGAAATTGCAGAAAATGTTCATTAATTAATTGTATAATATGTATCATACAATAAGTTGAAGAAGGTTTAGTCTTACTTGCTTACTTTACTATTCTGAACCTCCTTTAACTTTTTATCAGCGATTACCAATAATTACAATTCATTTGATATTCTGAGGACTGTATATTGTTCAGTGATTCTGAGTGCTGTTAAAGTTATGAGGGTAGTTATCACTTACCGGTTACCCACATCGTGGAAGGGTTCTACTGGAGGTATCTGAAAAGAAAATTGGTTTAAGGGTGGTCTGAGTGACCTGAAAACGTGACCACAGTGCCCAAGAGAACGGCCACATACGACCTTTTTTGTGAGTGATTTGCATGTTAGCTTCGTACTTGTTTAGACCTTACTGACGGAGACGAATATCCATGGGATAATACAAGGTGTGCATTTCTAGGGTCGACCTTTTCTAAATCCATCCTTCCTTATAAGAAGGCAGAATCCTTGCAGACGCTGTTCGCCTGAGGGAAACATCTTACTGCTGTCACACACCTCTGCAGTTGGCAGTAAGACTTTGTCCTCAGACCTTGATTTGATGCTTTTAGTCTTGCTGTTCTCCAATCGACCTGCTTCGCATGGTAGAACATACAAGAACATATTTTCCAGTCAGTATAGCTGTTATGGATGCAGAATAATGTGCCAATCATTATCATGTTAAGTCTAATGATGTCTTTGGACGTTAACTGGACATTTCCTATTGGCCATTATTTATTTCATTCGTTAAATATTGTACAAATGTTGTTTTCTATTTTTATGGTACTATGTGGTCTGTTTGGTTGGTATATAAATAGAGTATGTCTGAAATACAATGATTCATATCTCAGAGGTTGTGATTTGTGTTCTGGACTCAAATGGATGAGCTAGACAGGGAAGCGGGACCAATCGGAACTCTGGGTCGTTCGTACGTGTTTTACGTGTCACTGAATCGATCAATAAAACGCTGCTCCATAATCTGCAATACACACGTCATAACAATAGCTCGGTTGGATCATCACGATAGGCAAACCCGATTACCACATCAAGGTGGCAGCAACGGTCAGGTAGTAGTCGAACGCGTCGACAACTTCACTTACCTTGGAAGTCTGATCAGCCCTAATGGATTGGTGTCATATGAAATCTCAGCACAACTTTAGAAAGATCGTTCAGCTTTTGTCAACTTACGTCACCTATGACGAAGGCGAGATATCCGACTAACAATTAACGGACGACTATACTGCACAGCAGTTCATTCTGTTATACATTACGGCTGCGAAACGTGGCTATTAAGAGTAGAAGATATTCGTAAGCTACTGGTATTTGACCACAGATGCCTTAGAAATATTGCTCGAATCTGCTGGGATCATCGGGTAAGTAATAGTGAGGTTAGATGCAGGATATTGGAGGATGATAGTAAGTCAGTCGATGAGGTTGTAAATGTTCGTCTACTGAGATAGTTGGGCCACATTTTACGTATACCCGAACACCGATTACCACGACCCACAATGCTGACTAATGTTGGGGATGATTCGAAGAAAGTTAGGGGTGGCCAAACCAATACGTGGCATCAGTGCTTGAAGTTACTAACTTCTAGTCTGGGCAGCATTGGTAGATGCAGACTACTTGGTTGGGGTCCGTGTGACTTTCGTAACCAATGGTTGAAGACACGGGGTGACATGGATCACAATCGATCACAATGGTGTAGGTGTATACAATACTTTCTGTCTTCCCTTAAAATATGAGATTCAAATTGCTTCATATCTTCGTTTCTATGAACTAATTCTTTCTTCCTGTACTATATCCCTATACACAGTCTTTTATTCTACTGTATGGAGCGGAAACCTGGAGAACTACGAAAACCATCATCCACAAGGTATAGGTGTTTATTAACAGTTGTCTACGCGAAATTCTTCGGGTCGTTTGATCAAACTCTATCAGCAACAACCTACTATGGGAGAGAACAAACCAAATTCCACTAGAGGAAGAAAATCAGGAAGAAGCGCTGGAAGTGGATAGGAAATACATTGATGAAAACACCCAACTGCATCACAAAGCTAGCCATCAAATGAAATCTCGAAGGCCAAAGGAAAAGAGGAAGACGTAAGAATGCATTACGCCAAAAAATGGAGATAGACATGAGAAGAATGAACAAGAATTGTTGTCGTAATAAAATGTATCAACTTGGAGCGATGCATATATATACCTGGTACTAAGTTGTAGCTAACTGACTGTATCCTATTTATTCTCAGAATTATAATAATGAAAAAAAAGGAACAACTAATCATTCCTTTGAGTTTTCTTTTTCTTTCTAATACAACATAATATTCTATAAAAGATTGTTGAATTTTGACATTCAATAGTTTCAATATATCTTAATTCTGTTTATTTACTCTCTCATAGTCTTCATAATCAAATACATTAGATTTGATTTAGAATTCGCAATACAATATCCTTGTCAACAATGATTCAAGTGTGAACTATTAAAGTAATAAAACAAACAAGTCTTATATAATAAGAATAAAACATCATTGAAAATCTGATTAATCTGTTCACTTCATTATTATGTAATATACACTTTTAAACAAAAAAAAAAACGAAAAACAAAAGAAAAGAGAAATAAAACAAAAAAGAAATGCAATCAATACATGTAATACACATTCACAAGAAATGAATCACAATGAATATAATATAAAGCAATATATATATATATGTATATATTGTTTAAATGTTTATTATTCAATGTTCAATGTTGAATATTTGTTCAATGCTTATTGAATAAAATAATTAAAAACAGAAAGGAATAAAACCATAACAACAAATTAATATAAGATATAAAAATCAATAATTTTTCTGTTCTTAAATCTCTTCTATAGAAACATAAAAATAAGATTAAAATTATCTTTTCTTTTTTTGTTTTTTTCTTCTTTTTTATTTTTCTCTCTCATTTTTTCTCTCTATTCAATAAAACAATCAAATATCCATCTATCTATCTATCTATATAATCATAATAATAAAAATTATCTGATATCTCTGAAGAAAAGTGAAATAATATTCTTGAGAAAAGAACGAAAAGAAAAGCAAAAAAAAAGAAAAAAAAGGAATATCAGCCGGGGAAATAAATAAGAAGTTGGCATGGACCATATATGTATGTATATTTCTATCACAAAACTGAATTCAATTAATAGTAAACTATCAAACTTACAAAATTACACATAAATAAAATAGTTTAACACTTAATACGATGTTTATTATTAAACATGTTTACAATTACATATATCTATATATACGAAAAGGGACATAGCAACAAAAAATAAGCATAGCAACAACAACAACGAATACAACATAAAATGCAGCATATTTGATTCGAAAGGTAATTTGAAAATGGCGCCTTTTCAATGATCAAATGTGACAAAAATAATAACGAAAGAGAGAGAGAGGGAGAAACAATAAGAAATTTGGCAATTTATAATCTGATCCATGGAAAAAAGTATTTTGTTTTCTCATTTCTTTTCTTTGAACAAATTAAAACCACTAATGGAATGTTGCATAGAAACAGACAAAAGGAAATAATCTAAAGAAACTTATACATATATATGTAGAGAGAGTGGGGGGGGGCTGATCATATTGATGGTCAAGAGGGTATGAGCACACATACAATGAAAATAAACTAGATAAACCATAGATGAAAGAATGATCAGAGAGAAAAAAACAATTAAAGATAACTAGTTATAACTATTACTATTATTATGTAATAGATAGTAGTTAACTTTCTTCTTATAGAATCCAAATGAAAATGACATTTATGTGCAAAACCAAAGCAACAAAAAAAGAAAACTGCCTAGAATTTTTTAAAAAAAAGAGTGTATTATGGAATGTACAATGGTCATATTGACAAATCACAAATAATGATTACATAATAAACAGAAAAAACAAACCCTCAATCAATAAAGAAATCAAAGATGATAAACATAAATCACTTTTTTTTCTGTTTTCCAATCACATATCAATGCAAACATATTGACTTAGTAACTAAATTCAAATAAAGTACTCCTTTTGTTTTTTTAATACATTTAAATGATATAAAAGAGAAGTACAAAAGAAAACAATCAAGAAAGAATATAGTTTGGAAAGAAAATAAAAAATAAAACAAACACTTGACAACAAGGCAATTAATTCATTAATCATTATGGATACATTTATATTTATTTAAATATATAGAAAATAATCAATATCTTGATTTCTAGTTTCCATGTCATATTATTGATTGATTGATTATGTAAATCCTGATAAAGATTGTCGATTAATCGATTGTCTTGGTTCAATAATTAATGATGCTTGATAAGTTTGTTCTTCATCAAGTAATCTTGATGGATCTAATAGATAATCAGTAACCTAAATAAAAAAAAAGAAAACAAACAAACAAACAACGCTGATCAATTCAATGTATCAAATGCTTACGGTACTAAAAATGTTTACATCAAGGCAAAACAAATATGGATACAGAATAATATGAATTCATTATGATAGAGTTTTGTTCTCTGAGCTGGATGGTTTGGTAGTGGAGCTTTCATCGTTCAAGCACAGAAATCAACAAAAGGATCGCCCTACCATATATAAAAGGCATATCAGAAACCGCAACGAGACTACTGAAAACCTTCAGGATAGGTGTGGCACACAAACTGACACAATCACTACAATCAATCCTGTGCAAATAACAAAGGAAGACAAATCAAACATCATCTACAAAATAAATTGTGCCAACTGCGAAAAACACTACATCGGACAAAGCAGACGCCCCCTTCACCTTCGCTTACATGAACATCAATTAGAAGTCAAACGCCATGATACTTCCTCACTTATATCGATACACGTAGACAACTGCGGACACTCATTCGATTGGAAAAATGTAGAAATCTTAGACAGGAAATTCCAAAAACACCAAAGAATTTTTAGAAGCCTGGCACTCAGGTCAATCAGCAATCAACAAGCACATTGATATCGATCCAATTTATTAACCAATCAGGAAAATTATACACAAATATAAGAACAAAAATCAAACCAATGGGGGACACAACCAAAACAAAGAAGTAAACAATGACAAATTTAAGGTCAATAAGAACCAATCAACATCGAGGTGCATAGAACAAGTTGTGAAACACATATGGAGAAATTCGAACACTTCACTTCTATCTGAAGTTTGTGCTGATGATGTCGTTCAGACGAACTATGAAAGCTCCACGACCAAACTATCCAGCTCAGAGAACAAAACTCCATCAAAATCATCCACCCGAGCTACAACTCTTCTCCACCATCTCATAAATCCATTATATTTCATAGTTTCTTATTAGCTGATTACAACCAAATTTGTATTAGAATTTTACATTAAAGTAGGATAATAATGTAGAATCAATTGATATAAGTGAATGCAAAGAATTAGAAAATAGCAAAGGTTAAAATTATCACATCATTTATCTGTTATAACCTGTGAACCTGTGTGCCCTGTTAGTGGTTAACGTCACGATACCGCCAATCAGAGAGCAGCGAATTATTGATCGAATCAGTGACGCATAAAACCTCGTACGAGCAGCCTAGAGTCCTGATTGGTCTCGCTCCCCGTCTAGCCCAGCCAGTTAGGTCCAGAACACCAATATCAGCCTATGTAATATGAATCCTTATAATTCAAACATACTCGGTTTATATACCACCAACCAGACAAACCACAACGTACAATAAAATAGAAAACAACATTTGTACAAGATTTAGCCAAATGTGGCTGTGAATATGGGAGGTAGTGGTTAATAGACAGAGCATAATTCAAGAACGGTAAGACCTAAAATAATGGTTCATAGGTCAAAATAAAACTCATAATAAGAGGGACATGAATATGAACAGGTTAGTTACATGACAATTATACTATAAAAATACACTCATAGCATTGGTTCATAAATAGATCCCAAAGTTACCATTCATTATTCTTACCGGGATATAACATTATCTTATTTGTCTTTGATCTTCCCTCAGCTTATTACATTATCCATCCCTAATGTTTCCTTGATTGTAACCCCAAATAATCTATAACCTTGATATGGTTTACATGAATTTTCTCATTAGTGTTTACGACTGCAATTGGTCAGTCTCTTATTGGTATATGTGAATGCTGTGAGTATTGCTTCGATATTGTTTTAATTCACAAGTATTATAAGCAAAGTGAATAACACGATGTCCTATGAAGCGAACGGTATCGCATTCGATTCCTAGAGTGAGCATCAATCCCTAGATACAGATAAATCCGGCTGACGAGTCTCAAATAGGACGAAACGTATGTTCTAGATTCCACTGCTAGCCACTATCCATCTTTGCTTATAGCCATCTATGACCTGTGCTTACATATATATATGTAGTTATTATTGATAACCTTTGTCATTCCAATTCTTTGCATTCTCTTATGTTAATTGTTTCACACTACATCTTATTTTAATGTAGACTTCTAATACAGATTTAGTTGTAAGCAGCTAATGGTAAATCATGAAATACAATGAATTCATATGATTCTGTATCAATATTTGTTCTGGTTTTATCTAAATTTATAAAGCGAACTAACTGAACTAAAATGTTTACTGTCCACTAGACTATTGTAATGTTTCACACTTCACCCTATTAGATAATAGAAGGTAATCAGCTGAAAATGCTAGACTCAAGTTTTGTTCTAATTGACCTAGTTCAAAACTTCGGCTAACCGATTCTCCTTGTGGTTTATGAAACTTTACAGTGTTAAACATTAACGCTAAGTTATTTGAGCATTGAATTACCTCGATGACGTTGAAATCTGACTACTAGTTTGAGTCACTCAACATAAAAAGTTGTAAGATGCAGGTCTGAATATATTAGAGTGCAATAGTTCCCTCAACAATACAATTAAGCTTTGTTGATGAATCTTAACTAGTACGAAATATAAATTCAGAGTTTCCTTTCAACCATCAGCAGTTACCTGACTTCTTCACTTAGTGTATTCAATATTGAGTCATTAAGATGAGTGAAAAGATTGCAACATGATCAAGAGAATTAGATCAACGGTAAGTACTGAATAAACAAAGAAAAAATCGATTACTATTCAACGAATAATTAGTGATACACTCAAAGCTTTACACCCATGAGTTAATCTGTTTACATGAGTACATGTGACATTGGAATTCTAGAGGTTTCTGGCAAAGATTCTCATATCGTAAATAATTTTTATATACAACTAATCAAATTATGAAAGAATATAAATGAATTGACTTTTATATGTTTCTGGGCTTATTCAAAAACGACATTTATCTGTTATGTTTATGATATCACTATATACTGACAGCATGAAAAGTGCTTTTTTACCACTTCAATAATCAATAATCTATAGCAAATCCAAATATGGTTAGTTTGATTTAGGATAGTATTATATGATTACAAGAGCTATATAGTATGACAATATAATCACTTTCACACTGTTAGTTAAAAAGAAAGCACATTTTGAAACAGGGATTTGTGAAGATTGTGATATTTTAACAGTTGAATCCATGAGTCCATCTAAGCTAGACCATAGTTGAAAACCTGCAAGCAATTAACCGTTACTTCTTAGTATGAAACTCCTCAGCAGTGCACGTTCGAGATCCCGTACTCGGGACTCGAACCCAGGGCCCTCGGTATCGTGAGCGAATGTCTAACCCCTAGGCTACTGAACCGGTGTGTCGATGTCTAACTTTAATCGATCTAGGATTTTGCGCAACACTTCATCCATTGTCTTAGGTGGATACGTGTCTCACACACAATAGCGATTGGACTCCACTGATCACGGCTTCTCACTAGAACTCCAGGAAATTCATCTTGAATCTAGTCATTAGTGAGAACATGATTATTATCCACGATCCTGCACCCAAAATTGTGAATGAACACTGCTGAGGAGCCTCATGATAAAACGGAACGGCCGTCCAGTGCTTCCAGGTTTTCAGTGGTGTTCTAACATTTCGAACTATACGAAATTACAATGAACAATAATCAAGGGAATATCTGAATTAATATTAACATTCATTGAGACAACTGAGTTACCTACACTGATCGATTTTATCTAAAATTACTAGTGAAAACATGCATCGAACGAAAAGAAAAAAGGGATTAACAATTTCTTATAGTAAAACAATCAACCTAGTAACATAGACGTTAATTCAAATGTGAAATAAGAGTTTCTTCGGTAGAAATGTTCAGTATTATGGAGAACTGTTGTATCAAAATCGAGATATAATAGAGACATTAACATCGTATAAATATTATCCCATAATAAAATTCATAAATAACACAGTTTGGATTAATTTTCGTCAATATGAGGTTGTAGATATCGTCAGATTTCACTTAAGTTATGAACTGATCTAAGTTAGATAACCATTAGAAACCTAGAAGTCAGCCAGCTTCAACGTAGGACCAAGCACATATATGCTCATCAGTCCAAGTTGCCATACCTCATTAACAAAACAAGATGAACACTAGATTCATAGAAGTAGTTAATCCAGTGGTTGTAATTTATAAAAGAAAGATTGCATATAAGGACATAGTACAGGAAGAAAGAATTAGTTCGTAGAAATAAAGATATGAAGCAATTTTAATCTCACAGTTTAAGGAAAGACAGAGAGTGTATACACCGACGCCATTGTGATCGATTCTGAGTCATGTCACACAGAGTCGTCAAGCATTGGTTACGATAGTCATGCGGACCCCAACCAAGTAGTCTGCATTTACCAATGTGGCTCAGACTAGAAGTTAGTAACTTCAAGCACTGATGCCACGTAATGGTTTGGCCACCCCTAACTTTCTTCTAATCATCCCCAACAGTAGTCAGCATTGAGCGCTATGGTAATCGGTGTTCAGGCATACGTAGCATGTGGCCCAAACATCTCAGTCGACGAAAATTTATAACCTCATCAACTGATTTATCATCATTCCCTAATACCCTGCGTCCAACCTCACTATTACTTACCCGATGATCCCAGCAGATTCTAGCAAAATTTCTAAGGCATCTGTGGTCAAATACCAGTAGCTTACGAATATCTTCTACTCTTAATAGCCACGTTTCGCAGCCGTAATGTATAACAGAATGAACTGCTGTGCAGTATAGTCGTCCGTTAATTGTTATTCGGATATCTCGCCTTCGTCATAGGTGACGTAAGTTGGCAAAAGCCAAACCTAGAAGCACTGGACATCCTATTTTTTTCCTAATGTAGGACTTCTCAGCAATACCCATCCACAACGAAATAGTCGTTTAGCTGTTCGAGGTTTTTGAATGTGGTAGTCTAACTAAGCTTCGAAAAATGTTAACAATCTACGTAATTCCTTACATATTCATAATGTATATTATTTCAAATTGAATGAATCGTACTTACTTCTTGTCTATGCGTTATAAGATATGGTGTTTGATGATATTGTTGAACTTCACGTATCACATGAGCTATCTGTAATTTAAAAAGAAACAGTAAACAGGACAATATCCAAGTTTTTTATGAAATTGATGGATATGTGTATAGAAGCGAAATCTTGGATACTTTACTTCCTGTTTTTTAGACTATTCCAGCAATGTTTATGTTTAAATTAGGAAAGTATCTAAGTAATAAATATCTTAGTATCTAGTTAGCGTTCTCCTGGTGACCGATTGGATCATGAAGACGTCAACGTCTGAAGGGAAAGGCGGGATACAGTGGACATCTAGGATGCAGTTGGACGATCTAGACTTCGCAGATGATCTGGCCTTCCTATCGCAACCGTAACAACAAATGCAGGAGAAGACGACCACTGTAGCAGCAGCCTCAGGAGCAGTAGGTCTCAATATACGCAAAGGGAAAAGCAAGATTCTCCGATACAATATAGCATGCACCAATCCAGTCACAATTGACGGAGAAGATTTGGAAGATGTAAAAACGTTTACATATTTGGGCAGCACCTTTGATGAACATGGTGGGTCTGATGCATATATGAAAGCGCGGATCGGAAAAGCAAGAGCAGCATATTTACGATTGAAGAACATCTGGAACTCAAAACAACTGTCAACCAACAACGAAGTCAGGATTTTCAATACAAATTTCAAGACAGTTCTACTGTATGGGGCAAAAACCTGGAGAACTACAAAAACCATCATCCACAAGATATAGGTGTTTATTAACGGTTGTCTACGCAAAATACTTCGGATCTGTTGGCCGGACACTATTAGCAATAACCAACTGTGGGAAAGAACAAATCAAATCCCAGTGGAGGAAGAAATCAGAAAGAAGTGCTGGAAGTGGATAGGAAACGCATTGATGAAAACACCCAACTGCGTCACAAGACAAGCCCTCACATGGTATCCTCAAGGCCAAAGGAAAAGAGGAAGATCAAAGAACATATGAAGACGAGAAATAAAGACAAAACTTGAGAAGAATAAACAAGAATTGGTTAGAACGAGAAAAGAAGGCCTAGGACATAGTGGGTTGGAGAATGATGGTCGGCGGTCTATGATGCACTGGGAGTAACAGGAGTAAGTAAGTAATCTTAGTATCTACCTATTTTGTAGTCATGATCTCTTAAGTGTCATATACAATTCATTTATTGAGATGTATTCAATATCAAATACAACATATTGATATATACTCAATTGACTTTTAGTAGGTTTCCAATGGTATTCATTCATTCAGTGATTCTCTTAGTTATAAGTGGCATTTATTCAGTACGATAGATACCTTAGCTAATCATTAATTCGTATCATCAGTAGTATAGCATCGGATAAAATCCAATAGGAATTGATCTTTTTAAGTCGTTGTCAAGTAGGGTTTGTGTTGAACTAACAAAGGGCGGGGGCTAAGAGTAAATAAAGAATTAGTTTCATGATATCGAAGTGTAATGAAGAGTTATCATTGTGTCCTAACAAATAATATGTAGTTCTTGATGACTTTTAGAGGGATACTATGTGAAACATGTCTGAAGAAATTTTGTAAATTGAAGAAAAACCTTCTTCGTTTGGAATTATTTCTAAACGTCTAACATTAAGCATAAAACATCTTAATACTAATTAACAATGAGTTTAATGACTGATCTGTAGAAGTTTATTGACTACTCTTACTTAAGCCTATTACTCCTCATCGAGGAACATAGGCCGCCCACCAACACTTTCCATTTAACCCTCTCCTAGAGAGTTCTTTCCAACTCTTTCCAGTTGTTATTAATCCTTTTCATATCTGTTTCTATTTCCCGACGTAATGTGTTTTTGGCCTTCCGGTTTTCCGCTTCCCTTCACGATTCCAAGTTAGGGCTTACCTTGTGATGTAGCTGCAAGCTGGTTTGGCCTCTCACACAGAAGACTGTTGCTGATGGTATTCGACCAATGGATGTTGAGTATTTTGCGTAGACAACTATTTATAAATATTTGTACCTTCTTGATGATGGTTGTAGTAGTTCTCCACGTTTCAACTCGGTCCAGTGGTCCAGTGATTAGGACATTGCATCGTGACTACTCTTAGTCGGTATTTAAAATAATTTAAGAAAATACATGATATGGGTATATTGCAACTTTATTAGAATTCTTTTCTAGTGTTACTCACTTTCTCAGAATGGGGATTTGTAAAGATTACAATAGTTTTCATAGTTCAATTTACCACACGATGTAAGCTAGACCATCATTGAAAAAATGGGAGCAATGAACAGCCGTCTCGTCCCAGTATGAGACTCCTCAACTGTGCACATCCACGATCGCACACGCGGGACTCGGCTCAGTGGTCTGAACGTTATGAGGTCGCATGACAGACCGAAGGTCCTGGGTTCAAGTCATGCGTGACGGATTGTGGATGCGCACTGTTGAAGAGTCTCATCCTTCCATGTTTTCAATAATGATCTAGCTTAGATCGACTCACGATTTCAACTATTTATTACAGATAATAAGATTAAACAATGTTGTTTTAGAAAAAATCATTGTTTCATTACATACCATACGCATTTTACAAAAATTGACCAAATTATTCTCTGTAATATTCAATGCACCTTCTTCAATAAATGATAAATCCGTTAAATACATTCCAAGGTAAGGAATACAAGGAGGATCACATCTAAAGATAAGTTAACATGAAAACAAGTATGTATGAAGTTTCACATCATTGACTAGTATTATTAGTTAAGCAAATATCAAAATTCAGTAAGAATTAGACAGTTGTTTCGTTCTAGAATGAGATTCTACAGCAACCCTAAGCCTTAAACCCATCAGGATTCGAACCCAAGACATTCATATCTCTCAACTAGTTCTCGATCTTCAGACTAGAATCTCATGGTTTGTCTTTCCAAGTTTAATCAATTCATGATGTTGTATGACCATCATCCAGTCATTTTTCGATTTTCAATGGTTGATTAACGAGAAGCCAGTCTGTAATGTAAAACGTTAAATGTAACAATCTATATAATACCCTTCTATATTAAATTATGGGAATGGTTTGCTAGAGCCAATTACATCAATCGTAAGTACTGGTAGGATCTGAAGATTAATTCAGATAACTAGTTTATCGTTCTAAGTCTTGAATGATGGAAGTAGAAATAATAAATAGACTGTATAGGAAACTACATTAACCTATGAATATAACCAATGGGTCATTACAATGATATTACTAAACGAATTCCTACGATAGCTGATAGTTAAAGTTTGTCCATTCATTAATTGTTCTCTGTTATGATTATGGAATTCATGTGCAATAAATGTAAGGAAAAAGGTTAGTTTAAAGCTTCCAGGAAGACTATCCACAAGATCGGTCCAGATATTCAATATTCACTATGACACTATTGATTTGGCGGAATAATCTCCGACAAATTGAGGCGACCAATGATCCATGGCAATATGAATGTGTATTATTCACACTATTGAATTAAAAGTAGGTTTCAAAGATTAATTAGTAATCCATCTTTATGATCGTAATATGATACTACTTTTAAAATAATAAATAATATATTTGTAATATCCGATACAACACAGCATGCACCAATCCAATCACACTTGATGGAGAAGATTTGGAAGATGTAAAAACGTTTACATATTTAGGCAGCATCGTTAATCAACATGGTGAATCTGATACAGATATGAAGGCGCGGATCAGCAAAGCAAGAGCAACACACCTACAACTGAAGAACATCTGGAATTCAAAACAACTGTCTGTCAACCAACACCAAGGTCAGGATTTTCAATACAAATTTCAAGACAGTTCTACTGTATGGGGCGGAAACTATGAGAACTACAAAAGCCATCATCCAGAAGATAAAAGTGTTTACTAACAGTTGTCTACGCAAAAAACATCGGATCTGTTGGCCGGACACTATTAGCAATAACCAACTGTGGGAAAGAACAAACCAGATCCCAGTGGAGGAAGAAATCAGAAAGAAGCACTGGAAGTGGATAGAACACATATTGATGAAAACACCCAACTGCATCACAAGACAAGCTCTCACATGGTATCCTCAAGGCCAAAGGAAAAGAGGAAGACCGAAGAACACATTACGCTGAGAAATGGAGGCAGATATGAGAAGAATAAACAAAAATTGGGTCGAACTAGAAAGGAAGGCCTAGGACAGAGTGCGTTGGAGAATGCTTGTCGGCGGCCTATGCTCCACTGGGAGTAACAGGCGTAAGTAAGCAAGTAAGTATGTAAATGAGTAGAGAAAATAAGTTTTCAAGTCTTCTAACCTTGAAATCCCCCAAACGCTTCCGATTGGCTCGTCCATAAATTATAGTTTAACTGACATAAATCTATAACAATGTCACATTCTCAAATAATAATTAATCAGTTAAATGATATAAAGTGAGCTACTGAGATAAATGACTAAATGTCACATTTTATCATTCAAGTTTGGTTCATTGAATAGTTGATTGTAGACATAACTTTCAAAGAAATGCCAACAACTATTAGATAACATGGTGATTTCAGCTTATTACTGACCTTCATCAATATATCTATATCAATGCTTTACACATATCATATTCAGAACTGATCAACATCAGCTTGTACTGATGAAAAAACCAAACAAAATATTTCTCAATCTAACATACCTATGTAAAGCTTCACGCATTGATTTAAACCGTCCATCGGATGCAACAAGCATTTGTAAACGATCAATTGATTGTTTTGTTTGTTTACTAACACGTTCCCAGGTACGTTTAAGTCGATATACAGAACTATTGACTAATGCTGAACATATTTGTAATACACCATTATAATTTTGCATACACCGGCAAATGTCAGCGATAGCAACCCATTTATCAATACACATAACTCGATCATTTAAATCTGTTCGTGATATAATCTCAGAAACAACTAGGCGACTAACCTGAATCAACAAATGAGAGAGCAAAAAAAAGAACATGTGAATAATACCAAAAAGGTTTAAGTTACATTTTAACTTATTTATTTATTTTAACACATAGATATTGGTACAAGGAGGCACCAAATACACATGCGCCACACAAATCTCATTTGATATGTGTGAGGGATGTGATACTGCCCGGGTGCCCAAACCGAAGCAGGTGGTTTTCTTAGGGGGCCACATCCCGAGCCTTTGAACTGAAGGTCTGATCCACAAGGCAGTGGGGCAATGTAAGGAGATGCAGTCCCATGGAAGCCGGTGACCAACGATTCGTTCATACGTCATTTGTTCCTTTAGGATACTGGAGCCCATGTACACCATTGGTTTGGAATCAGGGTTTTCCAACTCCCCTAGGTGGACTCTCCATGTCCACCGACCCGGTTAAAGCGCCGAACATTCGCTTTTCGTCCTCTCAACTTCGTAAACAACACCCGTGGTGCAAGGATGCAGTGAGTAGGACTTCCCTGGCAGAGGCTATATACGCGTGGCCATGTGAGAGCATTTCTAGAGGGAGAGCGGACTCTCCCCACTTTCGGCATCTTAACTAGTATAGGCTGAATCTTCTGAACAATACAAGAAATATTAAGGAAATGAATGATCAAAGAACTTGATTTTCCATGCCAGTTTTTCTGATTAACAATGAAACTCAAGTGATTACCTGAAGAAAAATATGACCGGTGAGATTATAATTTATGGACAAACCAATCATGTATAAGATAACAGGTCTCGGATTTTGGCTCGAAATTCACTCATCCATTTGATTAAATAGAGTTTTGGCATTAGAGCTGATGTCAGTTCATGATAAAAACCTGAAATCTAATTCCTAACCTTAATCATCAACTGTAAATTATAATTTTAATTCGTCACACAGGTTTAGAATCCTCATTTGGTTCTGATCGTTAAGTGAACACCATCAAGGTCAGACTAGCGTCGCTCAAAGGTCGTCCATAAATTATAGTCTCACCGTATGACCTTCTCAAGGTGCAATAAAGTTTTATCATGTAACCGATGGAGTATGCTTTTCCTGGTTAGTTAATATGGTCACTAAATGGACAGACTCTATCTAATTCTTCTAGTAAGGCTCCTCAATATATTTAAGGAAATACCGTGAAATTGATCTTTTATATTTAATATACATAAAGAATTTGCCTAGTCGAAGTTGTCTTCTTCAAGTCACTCATTGAGTAAATATGATGGTGGAAGATTCACCTAATGATAAAGTGTATATCATATTTATCTTGTAGTGGAATGGCTTTTCATTGGCTTAAAATGAATGTAGTTAAATCTTAGATAGAGAGCTAGAGACTAATACTAGGCGAAATGTTAATCCAAGCTGGTTGTATTAATGAATGATGTATCAACTAAGCTAGGCTAGATGATATAAAGTAAGAAGTGATATACTAAGTAGTGTGTTGTGGTTATGGTTTGATGGTTTTTCTTCATGATTCTCTTAGTGAGAGATGTTCTATGATGTAAGTATTCATTCAGCTGTATTAGCTGTTGAATGAGTAAAGCTCTTAACGATTATCATATGGCTATTCTAGATGTGTGAATACACACCATACACATTCAAAGTGTGAATACAATGAGGAAGCATAATGTAAGTGTAGTGTCGGTTATTATGTTAAGCCCATATATCTTATTCTCGCTTTCGTACAGCCCATTTTATTCATTCTACTTGAGTTACATTTTGACCTTGTTATTTATTCAATCTTTACTGTTTTTATATGAGCGTGTAGGTGTGTGTACATTTCTGATCCCATATTACTCATCACATGTCTGTAACTTATTTTTGTGTGCCTATAAATATTGATTTACACTTGACTAGATGGAGTTGGCTTACCCGCCATCTCCACTCCGCGTCGTTTCTCTTCTTTCTGTTCCATTCGCTTCATATCCAAAATATATGTATTCAAAAGTCCATTCTCGTTATTTCACTTATTTAATTCTGTTATTGACTAACGCGATTTCAGTCGATGATTATATACGAGGATAGGCGATAACAAACATTTATACGATGTAATTGGAGTCAGACCCGCGGGCCACTAAAGTGAAGAGCCCTTTCTACAACATCGTTCGATCTAAATGACGACAAAATTCAAGGGCCCCACATAAGTTGTCACTTTACCTAACAATCTGAATAACTTAGTTTTCTGTGAATAAAAAGCATTAGAGAAGATTAAACAATCAATAATCAGTAGTAGCATTTACCTCATTGAATCGTTTACAAACAAGCAGAACATGTTTAGCTTTCTCTTCTTTGTCTAATTTCATCCAAGATTGATTAAGTAATTCCCTGTTTTACAAAGAAGTACATTTTCATAAGATGAAAGACATTTCTCAACTTCATGTAAAATCACAGCAAATAAACTTATGCAAAACTGGATTTTAATCAGAGATAGATGATGGTTAGTAGTGGAATCTTGAACGTACGTTTCGTCACTTTTAAGACTTGTCAGCTGTATGTGCTTGCATCCAAGAGTGGATATTCAGTTGGAGACTCGAATTCAGTGTTGTTTGCTTCAAACACCATCACGTTATCCACTTAGCTACTTCAACTAATTAGTCTCTTCTGCTAACCACCCATCAATCTCTGCTTATAATGCTTGTGACTTAGTGGCAGTATTGAGGTAATCTGCACAGGATGTACATGTCCAAAAAAGAGCCTGATCAATGTCATTCCAAAAAGTTAATGAGAAGATTCAAATAATCAATGCAAAAACAGATTCAAACTGGATTGTAAGAGATAATTACCATTAAATGATCTCGCAATAGTAATCAATTCCGTATCTGTCTCGTCCTTGTTGATGAGTCTTGAACAACATGAAATTTAGGTCTAGGATTTCCTATCAACTATCTTAGACCATCTAACATTAAACATAACGAATACAATGTTGATTCATTTAGATTAATGACTACACTACAACCTGATCAATGAAATTCGGTCTTCACTAAAAGACCAGACAAAATGGCATTTATATGTATACCTACAATATTTGTAATCAATGTTTAGAGAGGCCTGGTGACATAATCAAGAATCGATTTAAACAGCACAGATGAGATAAGATGGTGGTTGCAGGTAGTGAACCGGAAAACCTGAACTTAGGTTTCGTGATACTTGGTACTTGTGAGCAAGGTGTACCTGTGTTCTTCAGGAAACTGACGCTCCCTGACGGATTCACTCCCATGTCACCCAGTTTCACAATCGGAGACGTTACCACCTTCTGTAAGTCCAGGGTTTCCTGTTGACTACCTCCAACCACGATCTTATCTTAACATAGTGCATGCAATGTCAAGTCACCTAGATTAGTAGCCACATTTTAGGTTGGTTAATAGAATTTGATCTGCACTAAGTAGGACCTGACACATATGACATTGATCACCACCTAGTGATTAATTAACTGTAAGCATAGATGAATTTATTTATCTGTTTACCACTAAATTCAATGATTGAATAATATTTAATACTATGAATTCATTCACTTGTCTTGACATATATTCTCGATTTTAAAACCTTTTTATATGATCACTAGTACTGTCAATAATTCTATTAATACTTTGGCATTTATCTTGTCAATCTCATTTTACAGTATGCTGGTGTGTGGTGTTGTTATGTCCCGATAAGCATAATGAATGGTAACTACTGGGATCCATTTATGAACCAATACTACACGTATATTTTTATTGTACAATTATTAAGTAACTAAACTATTCATATTCCTGTTTCTCTTATCATAAGCTTTATTTTAACCTATGAACTATTATTATACGATTTACTATTCTTGAGTTATGACCTGTCTATCAACTACAGTCTCCCACATTCACAGTCACATTTGGCTAAATCTTGTACAAGTATCGTTTCCTATTTTATGGTACGATGTGGTTTGTCTGGTTGGTATATAAACCCAGTATGCTTGAAATAAATGGTTCATATTACAGGGGCTGAGATTGGTGTTCTGGACTCGAACAGGCAAGGCTAGGCAGGAAAAAGTATCTATGAGGACTCTAGACTGCTCGTACAGGTTTTATGCGTCATTGATGAAATCGATAATTCACTGCTCTCTAATTGGCGGTATCATTATGTTACACACTGACGGTACACACAGTCCAGAAGTTATAACAGGTGTGGTGTCTTGGAATGATGAAAAATTTATGCTTGATTATTTTATTGCTTATAAATGTCTATGAGAATCTATATTACCCAGTAACGAATAAATATACTTACAGATTATGTATGTTTATATATATAAACTAATTAATCTCAACATGGATATATGAATGATGACATTACTATAAATAATTTATGCTTATACTTTATTAAAACTCTGCCTGAAGCCCCTTTCGAGCTATTGCTAGTCCCAAGCCCGGATAAAGGAGGAGGGTTATGCATGAGGGGTTAGTGACTCCATCCCATGGAAAACAACCTTGTTAAAAAAAAGTGCCATCCAAATTAAAGAAATGAAGTAAGAATGGAAGTTTATAGAATCGATTTGAAATGAACTTACTCGCTACGTATTGACCGAAATATTTGAAAATCGAGAAAAGTTAATTGTTCTGAAATATCCAATGCAGATAGTTGATCAAAATTTTTCTCTGATGGGATCTAATATTATACAGAAATTTAAAGCCAAAAAGCACCAGTAATATACTACTGATAAACTCTCATTAAATCTATTAATTTCAATCTTTCTATATGAAAGTGAAGAAAATTTTAAAATCAGAAGGGGTTTTGTGGAGATTGTAGTGATTTCAGTAGTTGAGATCATAAGTCAGGTAAATCTAGATCACCATGGAAAACGTGAAAGCAATGGATAGCCGTTTCGGTCTTTTTGTTGGACTCTTCAGAAGTGTTCATTCATGATCCCGCCATGCGAGATACGAACCCAGGAACTATCGATCTCGCACGGAAACGCTTAACATCTAGATCACTGAGCCGTCAAATGGTTCCAGGTTTTCCATGGTGGTTTAGCTTCAACTGACTCATGATCTTAACTACTGAAAATTTTAAAAACAAGATATTTTGTTTAAAAACAATCTATACTTGTAAGTTAGTTTCTATTAAAACTAAATATTCTAATAGACAATGTTCTACTGATCCAAGAGATTATGTAGATGATAAACTCGTTGAAGAAGATCCCTCCGCTAAAAGTCATTGATTTATGTACAAAGTTAGTTATCCTTTGGTACAGTACCGAAATTGGTATCGATAAGTATAGGAATATCCTATTTTTTTGCTCAATAAACTTAATGTATACCAATTTCATAATGTGGTAAAACGTTCTGTTTTATTTACTAAATTTTTAAACTACTTATAAGTAGGTAGATTTTATTTGCTAAAATATCTGAGACATAAATGCATAGACAAGACTTAAAAAGACTTGATTAATTACAAATAAAAAACGTTATTAACTTACTTGTCTTGGAGTTAATATACTATCAAGATCAATTCTATCTTGTACTAATTGATCAGAAATCATTTGAAGTAATAATTGATTAACTACTTTTTGATCATTAGGCATTAAATGAGGACAAGTGACTAAAGTATCTAATAGAGTTTGCATTTCTCGTTTTAAAACCGGATCACTTTCAAAATCCTACATGTAATAAAACATGATCATGAAATGAAATGAGATCACATTTATTTTTAATCTTGAAAGTAAAAATCACAGTTAAATAAATAAAACTTCGAAATTCTAATTGCAAAGAACATTCGACGAGACTATAATTTGTGGACGACCTTAGAGCGACGCTAGACTGAACTTGAGAGTGTCCATTTAATAACCAGGACCAAATGAAGGTTATAAATCAGTATGAGGAATCGGAATTATAATTCGCAGTTAATGGTTACGGTTAAGAATTAAATTTATGGTTTTCATCACGCACTGACATCAGCTATAATGTCAAAATGGTATTTAGCCAAATAGATGAGTGCATTTCACTCCAAAATCCGAGACCTCTTATCTTATACGTGATTGGTTCGTCCATAACTTATAGTCTCACCATGATTTCTTTTCCTACCATTGATTTCTATTCTAAGGTCATTGATAGTGACAGTTCCTAACAATTATTGAATAAACTATTCTCTAGTCTAGATTCTAGTTTTCTGTTCTGGGTCGTGAATCCTAAATCTGATATAACGTGACTAGTTTCATTATCGTAATAAGGTATTGTTGTAATATACTAGAGAGAAAGAAAAATATTTTAAACCATTCATTATATTATAGGATACCTCAGAAGTGCTCATCTATAGTAGCATTCATACTCCATTTACCATTAAATCGTGATTTAGATATCATTTCTTTGATCTCATTCATTTCTTTTAAACTCTTTCCAGTCAGTCAGTCAGCTACAACGTAGGATCAGGCGCATATATGCGCATCAGTCCAAGTTGCCATACCTCATTAGCAAAACAACATGAACACCGGATTCATAGGAGTAGTTAATTCAGTGGTTGTAATTTATAAAAGAAAGATTGCATATAAGGATATAGTACAGGAAGAAAGAATTAATTCGTAGAAACAAAGATATGAAGCAATTTTAATCTCACAGTTTAAGGGAAGACGAAGAGTGTATACACCTACACCATTGTGATCGATTCTAAGCCATGTCACACAGAGTCGTCAAGCATTGGTTACGATAGTCACGTGGACGCCAACCAAGTAATCTGAACTACCAACATGACTCAGTAGTCAGCATTGAGCGTTGTGGTAATCGGTGTTCAGGCATATGTAACACGTGGCCGAACCATCTCAGTCATTGGATTTCCCATTTTCAGCTCCCTCAATTCGATAGCATGAGTTTTGACTAATTGAACCAATGTACACTCTTCTCACATCTTATGATGGTAATCTTGATCAATGACTGACTATATTATTGATAATAATAATAATGTTAATAATAATAATAATAGTCATGTTAACTCACATCTGGAAATTTAGTTATCCAATGTCTTACAACATTCAATACACGTAAACATGATGCTGTCGCTAACATTGTATTTCTTTTTGCTTGATTTGTACAATGCCCTGTACTGGATCCAACACCAAGACATGATGATTGTAATAAAGTTGGACTGGTTAAATTATACGGATGAAAATTGAATGTATTGTTAGTTGATATTGAATTAGTATTTGTTATTGTTCCTGGTGTTGATGTTGTAATTAGATTCAGTCCACTCTTATTTAAATTTAAACGAAATGTAGTATTTGCTGTCGGTGTTGTTGATACCATTGATGAAGTCATTATTGTTGTTGTTACTACTGTTCCATTTGTTCCCATGGTTGTTGGTGACATTACTTTATTAGAAATACCAGGAGATAGTGGATAAGTATAGTTAGGAGTATTTTGAATTTGTGAACGACTGATTAAAACTGTAGACATAACATTACTACTATTATTACTACCACCACTATTGATAATTGAACTATTAGTAATGTTACCAATAGAAGTATTGGAATGAGGAATTAGGCCTGATCTTAGACCAGTTTGTGAAGCTACAGAAGTCGCTGTACCAGCAGTGAAACGATAACCACTGGAACGAAAAAGATTTGGTCCTAAACCCATAATTCCGACTGCAGCTAGAGGATTAGCACTGCCCGCTGTTGCGACTGCAAATGCTTGAGCAGCTGCTGTGTTACTCGATCTATAAGAAGAAAAAACAACCAAACTTATAATACTATGCTATCAAGTATCCAATATTGACTAAGTAATTTTAATATAGAAAAAATGGTGAGACCACAATTTATGGAAGGCCTTTGAGTGGCTACAAAGTGACCTTGTAACAACTCACCAGCCTACCACGACCTAAAGTGGGTTGTAAATCAACATAAGAAATTAGGATTAGAATTTTGATTAGCCTTTCGACTGAAATCTTGAATCAGTTTCTTAAGCTCTTCTTATTACCGCAGGCTAAATCTGCACAACTTGAACACGAGAGAATAGGCACAAAGTATGAAAAGAACGCTTTACTCCAAAGTTAGTTTATGTACAGCCAGTCGAGGGTATTTGTAGTATTCTAGTTGATCTTGTGCTTCTGGAAGTTTCTGCAACCACACAAAATATAGTACCAGGTTAGATAATCATCCAATTCGAAATGTGACACGTATTCTTTCCCTTTCAAGATATATCTGAGATACTTCTATTCAATGCCGATTAGATAAAATGTTTCCCAGAGTCTTCAGGGTCCCTCTGAACTTTTTCAATGGATACTTTGAATCTCCCTATTAGATTTAAAGTTAGAATTTATGGTTATGAATTAAAGTAAGGCTTTTTATTCACGAACTGACATTAGCTATAATATCAATGCTCTTTAGTCATATGGTTAAATGAATTTTGCTCCAGAATCGAAGACACCTACTAGACTTCATTTCATTCGTTCGTCCATAGATTATAGTCACATTAAAAATGTTTGTTATCAGTCCTGTTCATATGTATACAATGTAACAGATTCAACATCTGTATAATTAAGCCTAATGTGATGAATCTACACCACAAGTTTACACAAACCTATGAATGGTTATCAGTCACGTTTCATAGGATTCGGTACGTAAAATTTTCAAAGTTTTTCAACAGTGTAAATGAGTGATATTTCAATGACAGTAGTAGCCAAAAATGTTGACAAGTTGAAATGGTTTACAGGGATCATTCACCTAAAGGCTTGTGAATTCTTTGTATTTTAGTAAAACACTTATCATTAAATGAATTAAAAGTTTGATTGAAGCATTTAGGAGGAAACAATTATCAATTCGGCATAATTATAATCATCAGAGAGGGGTTTTGTGAATATTACAGTAATTTAATAGTTGAATTCATGAGTTAATTGAAGCTAGACCACTATATGAAACCTGGAAACACTGAAGACAATAGGAGATGGTCACGTAATCTCGTCGATTGATTGAAGTCAAACACTAACACCAATGGATGCTGACTCTGCAGTCTAGAGGCTATGGGTTTACACAAGACCGAAGTTCCTAGATTTGATTACCACGTGAGGGTTCGCGGATGAACAACTCTGAAGAGTTCCATACTACGATGAGACGGACATACAGTGCTTCCAAGTTTTCAATAATTTCCTAACTTAGATTGGTCAATGATTTCATTGAGATAACCATTGCAGTTTAATAAGTAATTGACTGAGCGAGTTTTGACATACCACATGCATGTTCTCTTATGACATTCCAAGAAAAAACAGTGGATGAGATTGAAATCAACGTGAGCTATTAGAAGAGGTCGATTATACACTTAGTCAAGTTCTCACCTTCTATGTCTTTGTCTAGGTCAAAAGGAAAAATACACTTAATTCGGCTTACCAATAAGAATCTACCAGTCATCTTTATCAATCTTCTCACTAGCACAGCAGGTTTTGCAAGCTTTTACGAAGCGTTTATATGTAGCCAGATGGGATTATCACGGAACGCAACAATCACATTACCTGTGGCTGAATTTAAGAATTTCACAGACCCGACTTATCTTGGGCATCATTTTGTACATAGACCCATGAATGAGGACTGATGAAAAGATCTTAACATAAAACAAAACGTCTATCTACTATTGATTCCTTGTTCTTAACAATTTCCAACCTAAAATAACTTCAAGACAAAATTGATACAAGTATACTTTGCTGACGAAACGAGTAGATTTAAGATAGAGGCTATTGAAGTATTTACGGTACTTGAAACTCTATGATGAACAGCTTGCATAATATTAAGAACGATGGGAAAAACTATACAAAATTAGTGGAATTAGAATGTAAACAGATTTATAAGTCTGTGGGGGGTGGGTGGGTAATTTAAAGCTTCTTGATATTTGAAACCATGGAACTTACTGAACACGTATTCATCATGATAATTGCAAAAGATTCTTTTCAATCTGTTTCTTAGCATTACTACTAATTCTTAGTCTGAAATTTCTTCAGAATTCTTATTTAGAAAATTATTCATTTATACTATCTGTATTATGAATAATTAAAAACCAGTTTTTGTAAAGGTTTTATAACGTATGACCTGTGTGACCTGTTAATGGTTAACGTCACGATATCGCCAATTAGAGAGCAGCGAATTATCGATCGGACCAATGACTCATGAAACCCTGTACGAGTAGTCTAGAGTCCTTATCGGTTCTGCTTCCTGTCTAACCCTGACTGTTAAGTGCAGAACACCAATCTCATCCTCTGCAATCTGAATCATTTATTTCAAGCATACTGCGTTTATATACCAGCCAGACAGACCACATCGTACCATAAAATAGGAAACGACACTTGTACAACATTTGGCCTAATGTGGCTGTGAATGTGGGAGATAGTAATTGATAGACTGGTCATAATTCAAGAATGGTAAATCGTATAATAATGGTTCATAGGTCAAAATAAAGCTCATAATAAGAGGGACATGAATATGAATAGTTTAGTTATTTAACAATTATACAATAAAAATATACGTATAGTAATAGTCCAGGAATAGATCTCAACAGTTACCATTCCTTATTCTCATCGGGGCATAACAAAATGTTATTTATGAGTTGGTCACTGGGGTGTACTTTCACCATGAGAACTATCTTCAAAGAATATAAAAATCTACATATAAAAAGATTCGGGTTGATTGAACAACAGAAGATTCAAGGAAGAAAAAAAATGACAGATCTTAAAATAACAACAGTAAATAAAAACATATTTCAATCCAAAGGTCCACATGTTATTATCGTCAAGTTGAAGCTCCATCAAACAAGTAGAAATCGGTGCATTCGGTATAGAGAACAAAGATTTCAGGTATCGAACTCATGAAAACTGATGGATGAGCGAAGAAAATAATGATTATTGTTCGCCAAATCAAATTAGTAAATAGTCTGATAGGTATTAGATGAGTTATATATTTTCCTACCCTTATTATTATTGTGAATGTTATCGGTTGTTAGCATGATACCATACTCACCTTCTAGTCAGGCCAGTCACGTGTTCTGGATCCGAACTGTGTTGATGTCCTGTAGAATAGACACACTAGGAGTCTCATGGTAAGCAATTACTGTAGGCATCAAATGATCAACGAAGTTGAACTCCACTTATTATAGCTATTACTTAGATCTTTGAAAAGCTAGTCATATGATTCATGATTAGACAAGAGATCTTCTGAAGTTATTTAGTTTTGAAGAGAGTTCTAATCATGGACTAACTATTAAAACCAATGAAACATTAAACAGTTTTCAATAAATCTATACTTCACACTAGTTCATGGTGATTGGTATGTCTTGCTAAATGAATGCTATATTCGGTTCCTAAGCTATTTTTGTAATCCACAAGCTAGAACTATACAGCGACCTGAACACGAAAGAAAGGTGCAAAATATGCAAGAAGCACTTTACACCAGAGGTTCATTTTGGCACAGAAAATATAGGGTTTTTATAGTATTTTAGATGTCCTTGGGTTCCCTGAAAATTCTGGAATACTACTAAACATAGTATCAGCATAGTAGTCAGCCAATCAGAAACTCTACATGTGACTTTTCACTTTCTTGATGTTTCTGGCTAAACTTCAACTGAACGCTGATAAGATAAAATGCTTCTTAGTGTGTTCCTGATCCTTTCTTGTCTTTTACGAGAAGTTTTCTGGATCACCTCAACAGTGATAACTACATTTTAACAGCAAATTAATTCTCTACGAATTTATTCAATTTTAAGACTATCAATTACAAACAATTATGAGATTCTTCTAGTCTAACTAGATAAATTGGAAGAATAATACATAACGCTCCAGCAATAGTCTCTCATGGGATTGAAGCGAGAAGTCAAGAATTTCAGGAATGGTGATAGAATATCTCTGTGTATATACATGACGATAATCTTGACCTTTGAATAATGAAAACAACCAATCAGAAGATAGAAAAGGTCAGGAAAGTGATATAAATTGGAAACACTTGAACATCAGAACTACCATTTAACAATGAAAAATTTTTTTAAAAAAGAACTAAGTAAGTTGTGATCTTTCAAGAAAGTCTACTATTCAAATAAAACTGATTACTTAAATACTTCGAAATAACATTTATAGACAAATAACCGGTACTTACCGTCGTTTTGATCTTCTAGATGAAGTGACCACTGCTCCTGGTCGAGTTCGTTTATTAGAAGCTAATTCATTAAGAGATGGATTTATAACACTTGATCTAGGTGATTCAATTTCTGCTTCAGGGCATGAGAACACTGATGGACGTTTAGGTTTTGATACATTTGAAACTCCGGACCCTATGAAAAGATATTTCTTTTTGTTGTTTTAATGATATTAATGAGTTTTAAGATGAAAAAAACATGGGAAAAAGAAGATAACTGTTAAATTACAATTGATTGATCACTGAGTGGCAATCAATCTCATGCGTGTCTCGTCCTTATTAGTGCAGCTGGGTGGTACGGGATCGAATCCGCCAGGGAGCACCAGTTCTCTCAAGATTACAGGTACACCTTGCTGACGAGCGCCAAGGGTTTCCTGTCGACTACCTCCAACCACAATTGCACTGTTAAATTATTTAAACACTGTAAAATAATTTTATTACTAACAATCAATCCACCATCATTACGCTAATAACTATCTGAATATTGAAATTTAAGTGATGTTCGGTTATCAGATAATTGCTTTAAGCCACTTTAATTCATTGAATTATTTGAATGTTGGATTCTCTTATGAGTTGAGGTGATTTAGGCTTCCTATGATATATACCTCTTTGATGAATTGCAACAGACCCGACAGTAGTTAGTTGATTATTTCTATTATTTATAATTTACATCATACATTGATCTATGTCAGATGATTATTGAAAATATTGGGTTACAGTACGGCTGTTTTCATCCTAGTTTGAAGCTCTTCAGCAGTACACATTCACTAGTCCACGACGAACCGAACCCAGGACACTTTGGTCTCGTGGTAATATTTGACCTTTAAACCAATAAACCGGGATACATTAGTTTAGAATTTCACTTCATTCAACGAAGGATATGGAGCAACCATTCTTTTTTAAATACTACTGATGAATGACTGCTTCACTTCCAACATGGATGAGCTCAACTAATCACAGTTTTTTCAGTAGAACGCCTTAAAGAAGCGTTATAATAATCTAACACATGTTTTATATGCTTGAATACTCTAGAAAAAAGATTAGAAGACATTGTTTCATATCGTTTATCAAACTGTCGGTTAGTACTGAATCAAAATTTTTAATATACATTTCCATATAACAATTTAAGTAAATGTGAGGCCGGTCCATAGGTAAATTAGAGGAAGCTCTAAGAGGCTGAGAAAGAGCCAGAGATATTCCATCCAATCATCTTTGAGAAGAATATTCCAGAATCATTACATGTAGCTTCCCTATTGGACAATACTAATAACCCCCTATTTGCAGACTGGATAACTATAATGATGATTTCGTTTTTACTAAAATTTATAAATACTTGAAAGTTTTGTACCATAATTGACACTGTTTTGGAATGGCATTCCTTTCACTTATCTTCTGTCTTCTCATTTGCGAATTGGGAAGGTTCAAGTGTTCAAGTGCTCGAGTTGTGTTGGGGACGATAGATCCCCAAAACTCGTATTTTGTAATTTTAACTTATCGATTAAATGTTTAAACGTTTGAATGACAGTCAATTGACGAACTTATTGATTAATGTTAAGGAAATTTCCATGACAATATCGATTATAAATATTTGTATAAATACGCTTGATTTGTGTGCCTGATTGACCTGACCTGGTATCTGCTGGTTGCCTGTAGAATACAGTTCTACGTCTTACCAAGACTTCTTGGTCGAGTTAGATGAGTTGGGGTTAACGGACCAGAATAGCCTATCGAATCTCTGAATCCTTGATCCTTCGTTCCGTTCCGAATAAGCTGAATCAGTAGTAGCATTCAAGCTTTAACGAACCTAACAAGTTGTATGCGTCATATCAAGAATATTACCTCTAGATATAACAGTGAGTCAATCTAATGATCCTTACCCTCGACAGCATCTACGGGAACGAATCTCCATATTCTATTGACTCACTTCTTTTCTTCATTTTTAATCGATTCTTGATATAAAATATTTTATCATCTTCATTGCTGGATGAAGATCAATAAAATAAATCGTGTTTATTCACTAAAGACTGGTAGAGATTCAATCCTGATTAGCGAAAAAACGAAAACATTCAAATACTTACTCATAATGATATGAATATCATAACTGTTGAACAAAAATTGTGATTATCTAAACTTGATGCTTAACCTTTTAGTATTTAAATTTGATAGTAATGAGTATGAGTTCATACAATGGACATCTAGGATGCAGTTGGATGATCTGGACTTTGCAGATGATCTGGCCCTTCTATCCTAAACGCAACAACAAATGCAGGAGAAGACGACCACTGTAGCAGCAGCCTCAGCAGCAGTAGGTCTCAATATACACAAATGGGAAAGCAGGATTCTCCGATACAACACAGAATGCACCAATCCAATCACAATTGACGGGGAAGATTTGGAAGATGTAAAAACCTTAACATATTTGGGAAGCGTCATTGATGAACAGGGTGGATCTGATGCAGATGTGAAGGCCCGGATCGCCAAAGCAAGAGCAGCATATTTACAACTGAGGAACATCTGGAATTCAAAACAACTGTCTGTCAACCAACACCAAAGTCAGGATTTTCAATACGAATATCAAGACAGTTCTACTGTATGGGGCGGAAACCTGGAGAACTACAAAAGCCATCATCCAGAAAATACAGGTGTTTATTAACAGTTGTCTATGTAAAATACTTCAGATCCGTTGGTCGGACACTATTAGCAACAACGTACTGTGGGAGAGAACAAACCAGATCCCAGCGGAGCAAGAAGTTAGGAAGAAGCGCTGGAATTGGATATAACACACATTGAGGAAAGCACTCAACTGCATCACAAGACAAGCCCACACATGGAATCCTCAAGGCCAAAGGAAAAGAGGAAGACCGAAGAACACATTACGCTGAGAAATGGAGGCAGATATGAGAAGAATAAACAAAAATTGGGTCGAACTAGAAAGGAAGGCCTAGGACAGAGTGCGTTGGAGAATGCTGGGCAGCGGCCTATGCTCCATTGGGAGTAACAGGCGTAAGTAAGTAAGTACGTATGAGTTCATATGTGAATATAAACACAAGAATTTAGGTACATTCCATTGACGAGTCCTAAATAGGACGAAACATACACTTTTATATATAATCCAGTTTATTTTAGACAGTATAAATATTACAATGTGGAAAATAAACTTACATGATACTACAGATCCTCTGGCACAGTCAACAATTCCTAATTGTTGAGGAATAAGTGAATCTTTTCTATCTTTCAACATTATATCTGAAATTCGTTGAATGTTATTTGATGATAATGAATTGATTGTTTCCAAGGATGGTTTATTTTCATCTAAATGGTCCATTTCTTTTCCATTGACTTTTCGAATAGTTTGACGCTGAAAAAAAGACATTTCCACACAAATATATAAGTTACTTGATTTAATTTCAATAGTCTTTACATTTAAACAGGATGAAAATTAATTCTGATTCAGAATTCATAGTGAACTCATGTGTTCTGACAGACTCATTCGAAGTAAAGACCAGTGTCAAGCAAGGTTGTTTACTCTCACCCTTTCCTATTTCTCCTGGTGATCGACTGAATCATGAAGATGTCAACATCTGAGGGTAAGTAGGGGATACAGTAAGCAGCTAGGATGTAGCTGAACGATCTAGACTTCACAGATGATCTGACTGTTCCATCGCACACGCAATAACAAATAAAGGAGAAGTAGACGAGTGTAGCAGCAGCCTCAACATACACAAAGGGAAAAGCAAGATTCTCCGATACAGCATAGCATGCACCAATCGGATCACACTTGATGGAGAAGATTTGGAAGATGTAAAAATGTTTACATATTTGGGCAGCATCATTGATCAACATGGTGGATCTGTAACAGATATGAAGGCGCCGATTAGCAAAGCAAGAGCAACACACCTACAACTGAACAATATCTGGAATTCAAAACAACTTCCTGTCAACCAACACCGAATTCAGAATTTTCAATATAAATGTCAAGACAGTTCTACAGTATGAGGTGGAAACTTGCAGAACTACGAAACCCATCACCTAGAAGATACAAGTGTTTATTAACAGTTGTCTACATGAAATTCTTCGGATCCGTTGGTCAAACACTATCAGTAACAACCTACTATGAGAGAGAACAAACTAGATTCGAGAAGAGAAAGAAATCAGGAAGAAGTGCTGGAAGTGGATAGGAAACACATTGATGAAAACACCCAACTCCGTCACAAGGCAAGCCCTCATATGGTATCCTCAAGACCAAAGGAAAAGAGGAATACTGAAGAACACATTACGCTGAGAAATGGAGACAGATATGGGAGGAATGAACAAATATTGGATCGAACTAGATACAGAGTCCCATAATAGGACGAAACGGCCGTCCAGTGCTTTCAGATTTCCCATGCTGGTCTAGCTTCAATTGACTCACGATTTCAATCAGTGAAATTTCTAAAATCTCCACAAAACCCCTTCTGATATGTGAATTTGTCTATGTCTTTTCGTCAATAAATGGTCATTTCAGTAGTGTTTTTTCTTCTAATTCATACTTACCTATGTTCTTTCTTGTTTTCTGATTGGTTGTTATTACTTTTAGCTTTCTAATCTTCCCGTTTCCCAAGGTCATGTTTTTTATATATATTTATTTCAATAACAGGTTTCTAAGTGCATTTGAATTTGGCCTAGAAATAAATAATCTATTTTTGTTACCAGGGTAATATGAAAACATTTTATTTTGTTTACGATTATTATCATTCCACTCTGTCCCATATTTCATTTGTCTTCCTTTATTTTCATATAAAATTGCTTTGGTATTTTTATAACAGTTTTAATATCCACTCCTTTCGTCCCAATACCAACAAGGTTTAAAATGAGAAGTGATGTAGCCAATGTAAACTTAGAACATTTTTCTCCATTTACCATTATCTATTGTATGACAGCACCCAATATCATTTTGTTTATTATTTAATCCACGATTCCTCAGCAGTGCTCATCCACGATCCCGCTCGCGGGATTCGAAACCAGGGCCTTCAGTCTCGCGCGCGAACGCTTAACCTTCTAGACCACTGAACCTAATGGGCCAATCCTCGAGGTAATGCAATACGAGGCTGACCTGTGGACGGGGTTGAGCAAGCTCCGGAGGTGAAAAATACAGGTAGTTTCATTGGTCTCAGTTTAGAGACCGTTGCAGAAATTACACTGCAAAGAAGAGATAATACACATGATCTTAGCTCAGAGAGCCGAGAAGCGAAGTGAACTCCGCCTGGAGTTCCTCCGTGGGTTTCTGCCGGTCACAAGCCTGGATAAAGGAGGAGGGTTGGGCATGGGGTCAGCGGCCACATCCCGTAGAAAACTAACTCGCTAACCTATCATTTAATCGTGAATGAATTTGATGTCAGTGGTTAGTATTTAATGACTAATCAGTGTAAAAATCTCAGTCCTTGAGGGAATAGCATAGTAATAATGTGGTGCGTGCTACTTATATCAACATAAGTAGTATATAACACTAATCAGGAATAGAATATCTGGCAACAGAAAGTTGAGAAGATCGAAGAGGAAAGAACGGGAACAAGAGGTAATCGGTACGGAAATGAAGAAATACTGAAGTCTGAGACAATTAATGAACATTTTGCAAATGAAATATTAAAGTATGGTTTTTAAATTTTATGAAGTAACTCTGTAAATATATTGCGTTGTCTTCACTTATGTTATCATTCACTACAGTAATACCGCTAACCAACTATGAGTGATATAGAGTCAAATCCTAACCAGGACTGTAGCCATGGCTTTCCGTCAGTAGTCACGAAAAGGCGGTATTTTCAACCACATAATATAGAGCTTGTTGTTTGTCATGTTTGTAATTACTCAATCAGTTTTGAACTTCGACAGTATTGCTAGGATATAAATTAGTTCTATGAAGGATACATTACAGTGTTTCAGGATCCTTATTAATACTTTTTGTAACTTTTTATACAAGGTAAGTCAAAATAATCAGAGTATATGGTCATTATCATCTTATTGTTGCCCAGCAAAACACCATTTCTGTCTTCATCTTCTCATTATAAAACGTTTAACGAGGTTAAAGTATCTATAGAGCCATTAGATAATGTGAACCGTTATGTGGTATTTTAACCTATGACAAATTCACAAATTAGGACACCGAGTCAATTTTTCCATTTGAAATACTTCTGAGATCACATCAGGTTGTGAATACTGCGTGTTGTAATGGAAATGCGTTTTCCATAACGATACCGCCACAATCGGAAATTCGTAGGTCATATTGATGTGCATTATTGTTAGTATTTATCATTTCTAACCTATTTCATCCTGTGTTTGAAATCAGATAATGAGTGTCTGAAGATAATACCGTACTGTTATCACACAGCAGTGCAGTAAACGGTACGACTTTGCTCTCAGACCTTAAGTTTGTTGCTCTTGGTGTTACTGCCATGAAATGATCTACCGCGTATGATAAAACTTAAAAAGACTAATTGTTCTAGACAATACAATTAGATTGGATCATCATTATATCCAAGCTTGGTCACCATAGCAAGCCAGTAGCTTAATAATGTCAATAGTTAATGACATTACTTAAAGTACACATTTTCTCAACTGAATGTTCATCATTCTATATTAAGATAAAACATTCATAGTACTCATAATCTATGAAATTATTAAACACTAAAATAGTGATGAATACGCAAATCAAAATATAGACCCACCAATTCATTTGTTGTTTGATTCGAATTGACTACTCCAGTCTGTTTGTTATGACTTTGAATTGACTGTTTAATGTTTGTTGAAGTTTCTAAAACATCAGTGGATTTCGTAGAAACATGTTTACCAGTTTTGAATGAATCTATATCAGTGTTCTCGCTTTCTTGAGAGGTACCACAATGTTTCGCATTCTATTAATATGTTATATTATGAGTAAAAGTTAGAATAACAATGGAAAGAATTCATTGGTAATATTAAGTATACTTGACCAGTGAATTGACTGATCTTACTATTTAATGATACTGAAAAAAACATCGGAGCTGTTACAGGATCCATGCTGAAGATAATGAGAATGATGGATAAATTATTTCAGATATCAAGTGTATTGTAAAAAAATGGTTGGAATTTAAGTGTTCAGACAATCAGCTACGAAGTAGGACCAGACACATATATGCATCTGTCCAAGTTGCCATATCTGATTACCACAGCAAGATGAACACCGGACTCATAGAAGTAGTTAATTCAGTGGTTGTAATTTATAAAAGAAAGATTGTGTATAAGAACATAGTACAGGAGGGAAGAATTAGTTCGTAGAAACAAAGATATGAAGCAATTTTAATCTCTTAGTTTAAGGAAAGACAGAGAGTGTATACACCTAAACCATTGTGATCGATTCTCAGTCATGTCACCCCGTGTCTCCAACCATTGGTTACGATAGTCACGTGAACCCCAACCAAGTAGTCTGCACTACCAACATGACTTAGACTAGAAGTTAGTGACTTCAAGCACTGATGCCACGTTTTGGTTTGGTCGCTCCTTACTTTCTTCTAGTCATCTCCAACAGTAATCAGCATTGCACGTAGTGGTAATTGATGTTCAGGCATACGTACCACGTGGACCAACCATCTCAGTCGATGAAGATTCATAACCTCATCAACTGGTTTACTATCATTCACTAATATCCTGCCTCCAAGCTCACTATTACTTACACGGTAATCACAGCGGATGATAAGAATGATTTTTCTTGTCTGGTGCGATTAAAGAGTCTGCAATGCAAGGTTCTCTGTCAGTAGTTTCAGTGCCTAAGCCTATTCAATTTATACTTAAACTAATAAAATAAATCAATAACTAAAGATTTTTCCCGTTAAAAAATCATTATTCCTTCATAAAATGGTTAATATATGGTGAATATCACCTACAGATTAGACTTATTTCAACATAGAGATTTGTGGAGAATAGTGAATGATAACACGAACTGACCAAAGTTAAACATCCATTGAAAATCAGAAAGCATTAGAAAAAGTTTCCATCTAAATATGGGTGTTCCCAGAAGTGCAAATTCACAACTCAGCCAGAGATAGAACTTAATATTCATAACTTCTAGACCAAAGAGCCGGGAATCCACCGGTGTATATTGTCAAACTTCAATCAATTCAAGATACTCGACGACTATCTTCAGTGTTTTCAGCGGATAACAACTACCTTATATCCAACATGTTTATAGTCCAATGGTCAAGGATGATAAAACACAGAGAGTTGTCTAACATCCTCAACTCGGAGAGGCTAGGTTTCACAAGCATAGAGCAGAACTGCTCTCACCGACGCGTTGTAGATCCGACCTTTTACAGCCAGACTGACATCGCGAAGGCGCCAAAGGTAGCCCAGATTGGCATAAGCCGCTCTGGCTTTCACTATACGTGCATTGATCTCATCACTCACGCCACCACCAGCACTTATTTAGCTACCTAGATACACGAACTTCTCGATTACTTCTATCTGCTCACCACCCAGTGTAAGTACAGGATTAGGTTGTTACTGATAGTGTCTGGCCAACGGATCCGAAGAATTTTACGTAGACAACTGTTAATAAACACTTGTATCTTCTAGGTGATGGGCTTCGTAGTTCTGCAAGTTTCCACCTCATACTGTAGAACTGTCTTGACATTTATATTGAAAATTCTGAATTCGGTGTTGGTTGACAGAAAGTTGTTTTGAATTGCAGATGTTGTTCAGTTGTAGGTGTGTTGCTCTTGCTTTGCTAATCGGCCCCTTCATATCTGTTACAGATCCACCATGTTGACCAATGATGCTGCCCAGATATGTAAACTTTTTTACATCTTCCAAATCTTCTCCGTCAATTTACCAAATCAATATTCACAAACAAGAACAACAACAAAGAAAACAAACCAAACAGCAAAAACAACACTTACTTTAATATCTGAACAAATCTCTGTTGAATACTTATTTGGACTTGATGGAGATGATCGAATCATTATATTTTTACATTGTAAATAATTATCTAAATATTTTAATTGGGTATGATTATGATTATGATTATTATGTTCATCATTGGATGATTGATGAATTGGATATTGTATTATTGTGGTTGGTTTTAAATGTACAAATGCACCAGAACAATTTAATGCTGCAATCATTGTATGTTTTGCTAATGATTGACATGCTGTAAATGATTTAGGGGATTTTTTTAAAATTGTTAATCGTGTAGCTAAATCTAAACTCTCAGCAACTGGATAATACTTGGTTGTATTATTGATTGTTAATGATGATGATTTTAACATGATTGTTGATTGTTTCATTGAAGTATGATTTGATAATTCAGTAGTATCTTTTAATTGTTTTTGACGATCCAATGGTACTTGTTGTTGTATATTATCTAAATGAAAATAAAATGAAAATACTTTTTCTAGTAAGATTGTAGTGCGTGCTACTTATATTCATATAAGTAGTTATATGACACGAGTCAGGAATGTAACGTCTGGCAGCACAAGATGGGAGGAGATCAGGAAAAGAAAAGCGGGAATAGAAAGCAACGAAGTTCGAGATAATTATTGAACATTTTGCAAATTAAGTATTATAGTAAGACTATTATAAACTATTGATTATCAAATTTAGATGAAGGTGATCTTTAAATGCGTATGTCATTTTCTATGTAATCAACATTTTGAGTTGATCTTAATTAGGTATTTTTTTTATCACAAAGTAATTATGTCATTATGCTTTAGATTAATATCAGAAGGAGTTTTGTGGAGATTTTAGAAATTTCACAGATCGTGGATGCGCACTGCTGAGGAGCCCCATACTAGGATGAAACGGCCGTCCAGTGCTTCCCGGTTTTTCATGGTGATCTAGTTTCAACTGACTCATGATTTAGATGATTACTTGAAATCTTCTGGAATTCTGTCTATGACGTAAAATTTCCTTATTTTAGTAAACTATATATACTCAACAACAGCGTTGGATAGAAAATCAGTGGAATAACACTGAGTTCAAAAAGAAGGCTACTGAGTAAATCTCTTCACAATATATTTAACGAAATATTATAACAGATAGATCTATTGTCTGTCTTAAGGTCCCTTACTTACTTACGCCTGTTACCCCTAATCTAGCATAGGCCGCCAACTAGCATTCTTCAACCCACTCTCTCATGAGCCTTCCTTTCTAGTTCTTCCACTTCTCATTTGGTTTTGAGGATTCCAAGTGGGGGCTTGCTCTGTGACACAGTTGGATGCTTTCCTCGATGTGTTTCCTATCCACTTTCAGCGCTGGATGGTCCCAGAGGTATATAAATATTCATACAAGAGAATTAAAGTGACAGTCAGTTCAGTAGTAAAGAAGAGAAAAGAATACAGTGAACAGGAAGAGGATTATCGGTGAGACTCTAATTTATGAACGACCATTGAACGAATCTTGAGTGACCTAGAGAAATATTAACCAATCAGCAAATAGTCAGTATATAGTAAAAAGATGTTATAGAAAACCAATGAAACAAAGTGAATACACTTCTTATACGTGGTTCAAAAACTTTTCAAGGTTAGAAAGAGGTTCAGAGGTTCTAAAATCGTAATACGTGCAGTAGAGGAAATCATCCATACGGCTACAGAATAGTCAGCGTCTGGAGCCTTGATAAAGTCTCAAAAACTCTTTCAGCTTCCACCTCATAGTTTCAATATTGTTTGTGTGCACTCCGGTTGTTGAGTGCACAAAATGTCACTTGTGGATAACGACATAATGCACATAACCAAGCCTATGTAGGAGTCTGTACGCTCTCCAAACATCAATATATATTGTAGTACCTGGCTGCAGCCAGTATTACTGGTGCTTTTACTATCCAGTTCGCAATAATTGTCATAATTTGTCTTAGTTAGGAATTATATATAGGATTTTCATCACGAACTGACATCAGCTATAATGCCAGAAATTTATTTAGCCAAATGGATGTAAGGCTTTCGCGTTAAAATCCGAGATCTGTTATCTTATACCAGATTGACTTGTCCACAAATTATCGTCTCGCCATTTTATTTGTTATAGCCGCTCAATTATCATGTTTTGTACAAAATTCCCTGTGAACCGGTCGTACGTTAGCATTAGGCACTGAAGTTGGCGCTGTGACCTTGAAACTTCTCAAACGCTTCTGATTGACTCGTCCATAATTTAGAGTCTAGCCACCTGGAAGCATCTGACGGTCCTCGAATAATATCGGAAGTCCACTAAAGTTAGGCATGACCAACATTGAATTTTAAAATTAGTGATGTGAAGATTAAACACTCGTTGAGAGATCTAAAGGTTTTGAGTTCGATCCTCGGTAGTGTTACTAATGAGTACTACTGAAAAGTTCTATACGAGAACGAAAAAAGCTGTCGAGTGCTTCTAATAACACGATTGTTGATAGCATTTATATTGGATAGTAAGCTGACCCATAATCACCAAAAGAGCTGTCAAATCAAGTGTGTAGTTTCAATAATAAATATAACCATTATATGAAACCAGGAACCAAGCTATTTGATCCTAACTAAACTATTTAAATTTACAGTAAACGATTTGATTGATTAGTTATGAATATAATTAACACAATATATGTACAGTATCAAGTACTTTTAAATGATTTATCATTCACATAGTGGATGAGTACTTGAATGACTGAAACGAAATCCTAAGTGAAAATTATACATTTATATGCAATATTGAACTGCGTCACAAGGCAAGCCCCCACATGAGATCCTCAAAGTCAAAGGAAAAGACGAAGACCGAAAAACGCATTACACCAAGAAATGGAAAAAGATATGGGAAAAATGAACGAAAATTGGCTAGAACTAGAAAGGAAGGCCTAGGACAGAGTGAGTTGGAGAATGCTGGTTGGCGGCCTATGCTCAATTAGGAGTAACATGCGTTAGTCAGTAATGTAATATTGACCTACTAAATGAATGTAAACATGTTCAAAAAAAGAACAAAGTATTTTAACCATGATTATAACATGAGGATGAGCTTAAAATAACCACGATGAATTTCTAGTCAGTTCATAATCAATCAAAAAGTATCTTCTGTATATGGATTATTCATGGAAAAGAAAACAAACAGATTATACATATTGAATGAATCTATTAAAATATTTTACAAGTTGATCTTCTTGTACAATGTAAGGAATAAGCAAATATAAATTCTGTCACAATATAGATAGTAAATTATACATCTTCTCGTGCCCATAGAAGGTGCCGAATGAGTTTCTAGGATTCCTCATGTTTTTTCTTGGTTGTTGCTAGGACTATATAATTAGTATCAGGGGTGTGAGGTTACATTTTTCATTGAGAACTAATATCAACGAGAATTGAAAAATGATCTATAACCACAAAATTGGATGAAAATTGTGCAAAAAGAAAAAAATCTAAGTAGTTTTATCTGATTGGTTGATGCCTTTTAATGCAATGCGATTAGATTGAGGTTTATTTGAGAACTAAAGAATAGTGTAGATACGAAGGTATTTATACTACTCATTTTCATTTTTGAATCTCACTCAGAAATTTACCAGTTATCTTTTTTAATCTGATTTATTCAGTCTTATGGCCCAAAATGTCCTGGTACGGCCGAGAATGGGGAGAGTCAGCTCTCCCTCTCAAAATACTCTTACATGATCACGCGTATACAGCCACTACCAAGGAAGTCCTACTCGCTGTCTTCTCGTACCACGGGTGTTGTTTTACGAAATTGAGAGGACAAAAAGCGAATGTTCGGCGCTTTAACCGGGTCGTTGGACACGGGGTTGGAAAACCCTGACTTCAAACCAATTGTGTATATGGACTCCAGCATCCTGAAGGAACAAAACACGTATGAGTCTATTGTTGATCACCGGCTACCATAAGATTGCACTTCCTGATGTTGCTCCACTGCCTTGTGGATCAGATCTTTAGGTCGAAGGCTTCAGGTGTGGCCCATTAGGAAAACCATCTGTCTCGGTTCGAGCTCCCGAACTGTATCCCAGCCCTCACATAAATCATTCGATTTATGTGGCGCATATCTATTTGGTGCATCCTTGTACCAATATTTATGTATTTAAATAAATAAATAAATGAATATTCAGTTTTATACTATACATTTATCGAATGTCCTCAATAATGTAACTTGGATACTATGCATGAAATAATAAATCACAATTTATTATGATTACTAATAAATGAATCTTTACCTTCGGGAACTTTAGCAAAACTTCTTCGTGATTGTATCCGATCTGTATTGGTTTCTGCTGCCAGTAATGATGAACCAATAGTTTGATTTAAATAACTCTCTAATAATCGATTATTATCATTTGAATAATTAATTGATGATGGAGATTTTGTTAGTTTTGAATACTGACTATTATTATTGTTATTATTGTTGTTGCTATGATTAAGATTATTAGATGGCCAATGAAGAAAACTCAATTGTTGTTGATTAGTCAACATCGTTAATTGATCTAAACTTTCCTCATTTGTCTTTGTAACATTCTTAGAATCAATCTCTTCAGTTGGTGGATATTTAAAATGTTCAGTTGGCTTTAAAGGAGAGAGAAGAAAAGGGCATCAAACATAAAATTCGTATTCAATATAAACATTCAATGATCCAAGTAGTCGGTAGTCAATCTATTTCTCATTAAAATGACTAATTTCTGTAGATAATATGGAAAAAATCTCTTTGTACAAATACTAGTGCTACTAATACCAATACTGTAGTGAATGAGAACGCCAGTCGGTACAACCAAATGTATTCAACTAAGAAATTACAGAATCTTTTAGTAAGATCGGAGAACTATTACTGTAAATACTTCATTTGTAAAATGTCAATCAGTTATCTCACACTTGATTGTTCCTTCGCTTTCACATCAATCACTCATTTTCCTCTCTTCGATCTTCATAATCTTCTCCCACCAGGCATTTCACACACTGCTTCCCCTTCTGATTTTATTGATACGTATTTCTCAGTAGCGGTGTTCATGGTCAACTTGGACTGGACTCCACGCTACAATTGGTGAACCCAAAAGTACGAACACTTCTCAACCTCTGGTCAAACCTTCCAAGGAAGCCAATTGCGGTGAGTCTATCGTTTGTCATCCATGTTTGTCGTATATTTTCATATTAATATTTTTCAATATATAATATACTCGACATGACGTATAACGGTAGGAATAATATTAATATATTAGACTCCAGTGTACGTGTACCAAATCTTAGGTGTCTTCCATTCGCGTGACGATATATTCCACGTTTTATTCGAGAAATTTCCCCAAATAACTATTCTCACTGACCCGGCTGTTTGGTACGGAACGCATACGCACTACCGCCTACCACCCAGCTTCAAATGGTTTAGTTGAAAGGTTTCACCGCCAACTTAAAAGTGCTCTGCGAGCACATGGAAACGACAATTGGTACGAAACCTTACAGCTCGTCCTCTTAGGTATCAGAACGAGCTTGAAGGCAGATATCCAATGCTCTACCGCTGAACTTGTATACGGCACGGCATTGCGTCTGCCTGGGGAATTCTTCACACCACGAAGCAGATATGATTTCGGTAAATCAGACTACGTCCATCGACTGTCTGCATTTATGCGAACGCTGTCTCCGGTGTCAACTCGAATACAACATCGACAGGTCGCTCTCCCTCGAGAGTTATCTACCTGTTCACATGTTTTCATACGAGTAGATTTGGTACGCAAACCTTTGCAACAACCTTACGAAGGCCCTTTTCACGTGATCGCCCGTCACGAAAAGGCCTTCAAGGTTGATCGACATGGCTGCGTCGAGATCGTCAGCATTGATCGTCTCAAACCAGCACACGTCGATGACAGTGCCCTACCAGATAACTTGAGACCCAATGCTAGACCTATCAAATCTACTAGCGGGATCTTTACATCTACTTCAAATCCCACGATAGATACACATGAGACCTCATTCTCACGTCCCGGTCAACAGCACGTGTCATCTGCGTCATCTACGGACGAGACTTCAATCTTACGTCCAGATCAGCAGACCACGCTGCCCTTGACTTCGGATGAGATTGCAGGATCACGAAATACGAACGAGACTACAGTCTCACGTTCTGGTCACTGAGTACGCTTACCCGTGCGCTTTCGCGACTAACCGCACAGTCAATGATGGATACAGTGTAGGATTATTCTTATACTACATGCATGATACACGTTTCTCTTTTTTTTGATTTTTTCTGCATCCTGAGCCCACGCCCTCGACCATTCCCGTCTGGTACCATCAACTTCAGTCAACTTTGGCGAAAGCTGGTCTGACCACCCATGCTCTTGTCAACGCACTCAGTCGATATTTTGGTTTCGAATGTCTGGCATACGCTTGGTCTCGAACTTGGGAGTTATGGTCGCTTCTGGTTCCTCGGCTCAACGTGGTTCCGTCCTAGGTCTGCAGCGTTTCTGGTCCGCATCCCTACGAACGCAATCTTTAGATTCTGGATACAAACCACTCTGGTGTGGTATGCCAACTTGAGCAACAAATACAGCACACTGCCCCTGGTACCGTTCTCCGAAAAAGACCTTCGTCGGAAACTCGACGATCAACGATCGCTTTCCTGTTCCGCCAGTTCTTCCGTCCTACAATCGCTCGTCAGCCGATCAATCCCACAATTTAAACCGCTACTTATCAGAAGTGTGAACCCTTTCTGGCTGGGGCTCCTGTAGTGACTTACTGTTATCACGAGGACGCGATTGGTTTAATGAAAACAATTATTATCATAACCAATTGCACCAGTGATTGTTTTACTGTGCTCGTTTGTTTAACTGTGCTAATGACAGACATATTGTGCTACCATTATTCTCTATTATTGTTTCGCGGTTAGTGACTTCGCTCGCACGTAATCCCTTGTGCTGCTTCTGCTTGTACCATTTCTTGGCACGATCTTGGTATTCTTTCGATACCACGAGATCGCCAATCAAATAAACTTGATTCTATTCTGCCTTCTGATTTTATTGGCACCTAGTTCTTAGTAGCGGTGTTTATAGTCAACTGTGACTCGACACCACGCTACAAGCTAATCCTTTTTGCCAGTAAACATGATGTCGACATTTCAATATCTTTCAAGTTAATCAATAAGCGAATGACTTCAAATTTACTACGCTTTACTAAAAGTATTGCTAGAAAACCAGTTTTAATTGTTCTATAGTTTGGGGCCTTGTCCTAATATGCATCTATTCACTATACCCAATTTCAATCAGAACATTTTGCACCCAAAGTATGTACACCGTTTTTGTTTGTATTTCCTAAATAATTCATGTTATTCTTTCTAGTCAATAAGTATATGAAGTGAATTCATAAAATAAAAATGAATTCTTAAGTGATTGGATGTGATTAACAGGGTATCGTAGATTTAGATTTTGTTCTATTTGAAGCGGTTCTTAAATTGAAGTACTGAGTTGCATGGAATTGACTTTGTCAAAGAGAATCAGTTACATCAAAATTACAGGTACATCTTGTAAATGAGTGGTGCTAAATAGTATGGAACCTTGGTCGAATTAAGTTTCCTGTCGACTATCTCCAACCATCCCATGTGAAAACATAGTGCATGTGATGTTGAATCATTAAGGCTAGTGGTCACATTGTAACATAATCGACAGAACTCCATCAGTATTAAAGGGACTAAGCTAATGTAACATTGTTCACTACAAAATGATTGATCAACTGTAAAAATGGTTTCCCATTACTGTGATATAAATATGGTACTAATATTTATAAAATATCGAAAAAATATATCTCGATCATTGCTACTACCTTAAAGTGGTTGTAGAGTTTGCTTGTTGTAATGAACAGATCGGGATGTACTGTCTGGAAAAATAGTTCTTCAAGGTCTTACCATTTCAGGCAGATCGGTTAATGAGCGGTAAAATTAAAAACAGTAAACCCAAGGTCCGAGGGTGAAGTCGTACTGCTGACTGTATAGAGTTCTGACGGCAGTACAGTGTTTCTCTCATCATAACAGTAATACTGCCTTCCCAGAAGGAAGGATGAGGTTGGAAAAGATCGACCTTTAAAATGCACACCTAGCCTCATTCCATGGATATCCGTCTCCGTCGGTAAGGTCTAAACAAGTACGGCACCAACACAAAAATTACCCACAAAAAGGCTGTATATGACCGGTCTCAGGTACTGCGGTCACGCTCTCAGGTCACTAAGACAAACTCTAATCCAATTTCCTTTTCAGATACCTCCAGTACAACCCTTCTATGATGTGGGCAACCGAGAAGTGATAACCACCCTCATACCTTTAACAGCACTAAGGGCTGACAAAATTATTTTTAATCATAATTTTACCTGATTTTCATATGAAATGGATATGGCCACATCGGATTTTGATATGTCTGCTAATAAATTATGCTTGTATTGTTCTCCTGTTTTAATTCCTTCCTGTTTTGTTATTTCAACATGATCCAACTTGTAATGTTTCTCTTGATTGAACACAGTTCTACATTGATCCAATTGATTATCTAAATGATTACATGTTATATTATGTAAATTAGGATTGAGAGAATTTGTTATACCGGGATTAGATTGATATTGATTGTCTATATTATTTACATTATTGTTTATAGATACAGATAATTGTTTATTATTGAATGATTCTTGTTTAATATTGATTGTCTCCGATTCATCTGGTATTACTTCACATGATGCTAATGGAGCTAAACGTGTATGCTCTTTGACACTATTCATAGATTCATTTTGTTCAATTGAAGATGAATTAGATGAGGTGATATTGTCTATTTTTTGTTTGAATTCCGGTTGTTTTTGTTTTTTCTCCGTCTAATCAAAGAAGGAGTATTTTGAGAAAGAAAATGAAAAACATAAATGTTTCAGCCAATGGAATATATTCATTGAAACATCGATAAAAAAGATTAGTTCACTGAAGGGTTCTATGTTTGGTGAATACATTTTCAAAGCTGTACAATCGCAAATATACATATTTACTTTACAGGATGATTATAATCACAATAATTACAGCAATAATGATAATAAACTTGTGTTAAACAGTGAAGTAGAATAAATAAAGTTATTTGCCAGGTCGTTCAATGTGTACTTTATCCAAAATAATTCGAGAACATTACCATGAATGGTTAAAGGAGACGGAAGCGGTTCAACAAAAAGCCTCATAATCGAATATCTTGGGAACATAGGTCACTTAATCAAGGAGGACTCTGTGTTCAAAATCATCAACAAGGTAAGTAGAAGGCTGCCAAAGGCAGTTATATTGGATCTTTTTAACATTGCCGAATCAATAGCCATATATCAGGGAAAACCAGAATTGTGTATCCAAAAGGAAATGGTACAACCTCTTCTTTTACCATGGTCCTAATGTCTCGTAATTCTCTTTCTTATTTTCTTTCTTCATATCTTTCTTCCTTTACAACCATCTGCTACCCCTTCCATCTTCTTAATAGATCTTCTACCCTGAACTGGTTTATCTATGTTTCCTATGATCCTCATGATTATGGAGTTTTGTTCTATGAACTGGATGGTTTGGTCATCGAGGTTTCATCGTTCTTCTGAAGTTTGTGTAGATGATGTCGTTCAGAAGAACGATGAAAGCTCGATGACCAAACCATCCAGTTCATAGAACAAAACTCCATCAAAAGCTATAAATCTTCTCCACCATCCTTATATTAGTTACTCTGTCTAAAAAATCTTTATATCTTTGTTTATTCTACCTTACTGTTACCATGTTTAACAGAAGTTTTGTATCACTATTACTGTAATTATTACCATCCTGAAAATCAAGTATGTAAAGTTGAAATCGTTAGTCAATTGGAGCTAGACCACCATGGAAAACCTGCAAATACCAGTATGGGACTCCTGAGCAATGCGCAACCACGAACCCAGGGCCTACCACTTCCGCGCACACGCACTTGACAATTAGACCGCTGAGCCGACCGGCATCGAACGGTGTTAATGTTTAAATTCAACTAATCCACGAAATTGAGCGACACATCCATCATTGTCATCAGTGAGTTACTGTCTCACAACAAACCCGGTTGAACTCTGCTGGTCACTGCTCACATTGATTAAAATGTCAGCTATCTCTACAGGTATGAAACTAACACAGTAGTTCCAAACTAATGGAGACAGATTAAATACATCAGATTTAATAATAGGTGAAGTGAAAGAGTTGATTGACAATAATTATGATGTAAATACTTTCAATCTATGCATATCTACTTATATAGGCCATACTTCACCACAATATAGTAATATAGATTAAGTCTCTGTGCAGTATAATCGCCTTTAGGTCAACAGATTGATATCTCCCTTAAACTGCAACTAACATAAGTTGGTAAATGTCAAGAGAGTTTTTTTTAAGGATCTTATCACCTACCGATCTACCCTCAGTTGATTAAATTCCAAATATAAGTAATTAACTTACTTCACTCCCACACTCTCAGTCTTCAAAGTAGACTTTGATTTGGGCCACTCGTCATTTGGTGGAAAAAAACCTATCCTAAAAATTTTCATCAGTATAGAGTATGTGGAGATTATTAATTTATTGATTGGGATCTTGAACCGTTTGATGTTAGACCAGTGTTGGAAACCTGAAAGCACTGAGCGGCCGTTTCGTCCTATTGTGGGGCTCCTCAGTAGCCGTGACTAGTGGAGCTAATCCGTGTCCGGTAGAGACAGGTATCTACCACAGTACAGTGGAAGATTGTCGTGCAATTTTTTGGATTGGTCGATGTTAGACACTAACACCATTGGATGCCGGTTCATTGGTCTAGTAGGTTAAGGGTTCGCGCGCAAGACTAAAAGCCCTGGGTTCGAATCCCGCGAGCGGGCTCGTGGATGCGCATTGTTGTGAAGTCCCACAATAGGCCATCCAGTGCTTCCAGGTTTCCAACAGTGATCTAACATTAATCGGTTCAAGATCTCAATCAATAAATTGAAAATTCTTGACTTGTTACTTCAGGGTATACAGATACATACAAACTTGTACAAGCTTATACACATATACCTATTGTAACTAATATACTGTTAATAACAACCAATCAATAATAATAACTCACTGTTTTTAAATCTGGTAAAATAGGCAACTCTAATGGTGGATCATCTCTTAAATCAACAAATTTACTATAAATAGGTGAACGTGGAATTAACATCGTTGTAGATGTTGTTTGAATAGGAATGGTAACAATTGTAGATGATTGAAAACTTCTATTCATTATATGTTTATTAGATTGTTTATCAAATAATAATGATGAACTATGACTATCATTGATTGCTGATTGACTCATGATATTTGATATTGTTATAGAAGGTGAACAATATTTGACTGTTTCTGATGTAGATAATGGACGAGGAATTGATTTTTTATGCAATTTCATTGATACATTATTATTATTATTATTATTATTATTATTATTATTATTAGTAGTAGTAGTAGTAGTAGTAGTAGTAGTAGTAGTAGTAGTACAATGAACTGTTGTTGGTAATGGAGATGAAGTGATTGAAATTTCATTGTTCATCAATGAATCTTGTTTGTTTAGTGATAAATTTGTCATTAATTGATTTGATATACTACTGATTATATTATTATTATTAGTAGTAGTATTATTAGTTTCTAATTGATTTTCTATTTGTGTAATAGAATTTGAACTTGATGATATATCATCCATGTTACTATGTACAGTTTCTTCTAAAACAGGTAAACGATTTATATTCAATGAAACTTCTGATGGTCTAGCTGTATATAATCGATCACGTTGTTCAGGATTTTCAAAATGAGAGCTTAGGATAGATTTCAAACACAAAAAAAAAACAAAAAAAAGGACAAAGAATGTATTACATTGTTGTTATTTAGCATACATATTGTACAATCAGGAGTGTGCTCATCCACGACCTCGTTTACATGGATTAAACCCAGGACCTTCGGTTTAACTCACAAATGCTTGACTTCTTGGATACTGGACTGGCATCCGACGATGTTAATGTCTAACTTCAGTCAATTCACGATGTTGCATAACTCTCATCCGTTTCCTATGATGAATAAATGTCTCACAGTCGATATGGTTAAGTTCCGGTGGTGATGGCTTAGAAATTAACATAATGAAACTGATGAAAGTTATGATGCTTCATTTAAATCTGAATCAAAATAACATTTGATATTAAGCAGAATCTTCAACGGTTACAGCTCTACAAGCACTATCATCAGGTCGACGTTATATTTTCATCAATATGATTGGGAATATAGGTTGTGAATAAATTTCTGAATAAGATTGAGGAATATATGAAATCATGAGACTTGAAGAAGAAAGAAGCTGTGATCAGTGAAGTTCAATCATCTCGAGTGTCATGAACTACCGACGGCGCTGGAAGATAGTTGTAAAACACCATAGGTTAGCTTAATTTAGACATACAAACCAATGTATTTCGACTCAGTGATCTAAAGGTTGAAAGCTCACTGGAAGACTTGAAGGTCCTGGGCTCGATTCCTGGAGAAGTTGTGGATGTATACTGTTGATGATTTTTCCGATATTTCTCGATTTTTAAGGATTTATCAAACTAAATTCATTACGCGATGTAAATAAGAGAATACAACAAACCTAAGAATTTTTCTAAATTCCAGCTTCTCACTACGCGAATTGGTTATAATGAAATTATAACTATTTGAAGGTGCAGAGTAGAAACTAGTGTCATGTGTAGTTTAGTCATCAATTCCCACAGCATCCGTTAATCAAACAGATCAATGTAGCCAGTAGTCTAAACGTCATTATTCACTGTGTGTCAATTTAAATGCTTAAGATTAATGCATGGAAACATATAGACCTACATTTCATGTTCATAATCACTCAATAACACGATGTATCTGCAGTTTTGATACAACCGAAACTTCCTGTTTGAATTTTCACTTTCTTCTACGACCACCTAAAATCTTAAATTTTCTGGTCTCCTTCTATTTTACGGAAGGTCTCGATAACTTTTTGAATCTCATTTTATCTCACTGACCTTTGATGTTATCTGATCACTTACTTTCTCTTTGTAGTTTGTTGTTTTTGTGGTATACCCAGTTTATAGTTGTTACTTCATAAACAGACTTGCTCTAGTTCAGCTCTGACTTTCCCGAATTCTTTCTCTTCAATCGAGCAAAGTACAATCGTTAAAGTTCATTTTTATTAGGTTTCCAGTTTGTATAGTCAGTGAACATCTCATATAATACTCGGAGAATCTCCTAACTGTTTCGTAATTTAGAATTTCTCACAAGTTATTTTAGAATAATATCTCGTAACAAATAGTTTTTTTAAAAGTTGCATAGTAACAACGAGAAGAAGAAGTAGTAAACACTCACTATGTAAATGATTGATTTTGATTAGAATGTGGTGCATTTCCACCATTTTCTACATCCGGATTTGCTAGAACTTGGTTTAATGCCCATATCACTGACAGACCAGTGGTAAATACACGATAGGTAAGTAGAAAAGTATTCAAAAAGTCTATGGATAAGAATCTGGCATCAGTTAGTCGATCAAGTAAACGACTAACTGTTGCATAACGAATCTGACATTAAAGAAAAGATAGTAAAATATTAAACAGGAAAAAGACTTTAAACAGTAGATTATCATCAACAATAAAAAATTATTAAGTTTATATTATGGACTGATCTTAGACAATCATTGAAAACAAGGAAGCACTAGACAGCTCTTTCATTCTAGTATGGGACTACTCAGAAATGCATATCCATAGTGCCACCAGAGATCCAATCCGCAATTCTAGCGAGTGGCCATGACTAGTAAAATTCGACTATATAGTATGTGAGGCAGTTACTCACCAATAACATAATAAAGATCACTGGACAATATCACAGACTGATTTAAATTAGACATATATACCATTGGGTGTCAACTCAAATTTCTAAAGCTTTAGAATTCAACAAAAGACTTTAAGGTCGTAGGCTTGATTCCCGATGTGATAATAAATATACACTGTAGTGAACCAGAATACAATTGAGTACAAACGAATGTATTTTAATACAACATTACAGAATGTCTTAGTAAAATCTGAGAATCATAAAGTAAATGGTTCGTTTGCAAAATATCCATCGATTGTCTCAGACTTTGTTGTTCCTTCGTTTCCATAACAATCACTCTCTGCTCTCGTTCTCTTTGATTTTCTCAACCTTCTACCTCCAGGCATTCCACTTCCGATTGGGGGTACATACTACTTATATCTATCGATATCAGTAGCACACATCACTGTCTCGGAATCCCATTTCAGAACGAAAAAATTGTGTAATGCTTCCTGGCTTTCAACTGTTGTCCAACTAAAGTCAGTCTGTAGCATAAACTATAGAGTTCAATAATCTCTGTAAACCCGTCATACAAAATATTACCATTGATCTAATTCACTTAACAGTATAGATATAGTATGTCAATTTTGTACACCTTATTTAACATTGGACGTTAAGTGTTATTACGTTACTTTATAAGTGCCGAACAAGAAGAGTCATATAAATGTAGGATAATGAAGAATAAATGGGTAATTTGGAACATTAATGACTTTTCAAAGATGAATTATTAATTACATTCTTATTGTAGGTTTACTGACTATTTTGTTGATTGTATTTTTATATTACCCTACTTTTAAGCTTTCGTTTCATTTATTAACAGTTCCATGTGGTGATTCTGGAACATTCTTCCAAAAGATGATTAGATGGAATATCTGTAGCTCTTTCTGAGCTTCTTAGGGCTTCCTCGAGTTCATCCGTAGACTGTTTTCACAGTTTCTCAACTATTTTTCCCACGAATGACTTAGATATTTACTTCTATTGGTTTCCAATTCGTAGTGCATTATCGTTTGTAGCATACATATAATGAGCTTTCGTGTCATTAGGAAAGTAACTAGGTTTGTTGTTCTCTTGCTTTGAGTGAGTAGTTTGAGAAAGAAGTTATCTGAATAGACCAATAGTCATCAACACACTTAGTGAGCACTTTGGTTAAACAAAAGCCAATGGTCTCATAAACATAAATCGAACTTTGTATTCACGGATTCAACAGAATAGCGATCCGACTAAGTAGACAATCCCTATAACTTAACTACGATTGCAAACATTGAGAATACAGTCCCGAATTTATAGTCTAAAAGCAGCGAATTAGTGTTATAATGCTAAGAACATTGTGAAAGTTGAAACCGGTTTTCTGAATTACCATTTATTATCATCTTGTTCTATAATTACTGAATAAATCAATTATTATGAATTTCTATCCCAATTGTCATAAGCTTCTGGTAACACGTTGACTACCGTTATATTACTCATTGCCAATCACTTATTCACGGTCACTTTTGGCTCGTTTATGTATATTTGTGATTTCTTATTTTATGGTATAACGCGGTCTAGTATATCGGTACATAAACCATGCTTATTTAAAATATAATAAAGTTAGAGTATGAGTGGTGTAGAAAGGGGTTTACGAACAACTGATCAATAGGAACTTAGCTTTCATCCTAGGGTCAGTAGTGCTGATCAGGCATGTAATTGGTCAATATGGGGGTTCCAGGTCATTGAGGAAATAGTAGACACGAAGGAAAAAAGATTAGAATTAGAATTTTCTAATTAATGAATTAACACATGATATTCGTTAGCAATCACACGCCATAACACCTAAGTTCGATTTCGTTTGAAGTCGTCTGTGTTATATCAATGTGTTTCTATCGCCGAAACTAATTTATGAACGACCTTTGAACGAATCTTAAATGACCTTGATAAATATTAGTCAATCAGAAAACAGTCAGTATAGAGTAAAAATATATTATACAAAACCAAAGAAATAAAGTGGATACACTTCTTATACGTGGTTCAAAAAGTTGTCAAGATTAGAAAGAGGTTCAGAGGTTCTAAAATCGTAATGCGTGCAGTAGAGGAAATCATCCATACGACTATGACAGATCAATCGGATTTAAGATAATAAGTCTTGGATTTTCGATGTGAAATACATTCATCCACATGGTCAAATAGCATTTCGACATATAGACCGATGTCAATTTATGATGAAAACTCTAGCCATAACTTTTAACTCTAAATACTAATCTTGATTCTTCACAATAAACTATAACCCGGTTTCGAACCTAACCATCATCAAGAAGGTACAAGTATTTATAAATGGCTGTCTACACAAGATACTCAGCATCCATTGGTCGGATACCATCAGCAACGGCCTTCTGTGGGAGAAAACAAACCAGCTTCCAGCTGAGGAAGAAATTAGGAAAAGATGATGGAAATGGATAGGACATACTTTACTGAAATCATCAAACTGCATCACGAGACAAGTGCTAACTTGAACTCGTGAAGGGAAGCGGAAAAGAGGAAGGCCAAAGAACACATTACGTCGGATAATAGAAGTAGATATGAAAAGGATGAATAACAACTGGAAACAACTAGAAAAGATTGCCCAGGACAGGTTTGGATGGCGAGTGCTGGTGGGCGGTTTATGCTCCTCCACGAGGAGTTACAGGTGTAAGTAAGTAAGTCAGTTCAGAACCTAGTTGGTGGGTGGGTTTTCTCAAGGTTACTTTGGTATCATTCAAAGATCGTCCACAAATTCTAATCTCAGAATAAATTCTAGAACATTGAGCAAATTTTATAAACCATTAAATTAAATCTATATGATTCAAAATGTGTTTGTTTACTTACCTGTGGTACTTTACATGAATTCAATGTATGACTAAATTTAATATCTACATCATCTTTAAACAATTTTGGATCCGATCTAAACATTTTAATAATAATAATATAAAATAAAATGAGAGATTTACTTTTATTTTATTGGTTTTTAAACAAAAAAGGTAAACAATCAATAATATTAAGCAGAATCAAAGGATTCGAGTTAAGATAGGCGGCCTGTTTGAGTATCTGGGCTACCTGTTCCTGCCATCTAAACATTTCATCAAGTTATCTATTTTTGTTTGTTTTAACACATCATTATGTCTATTAATGGCATAACCCATCCTGGTGCATTTCTGAAAAGTGTACAACTTTTCGTTGTCAAAGTTACAAAAAGCCCAATAAGTGATATTGTGGTTGCTGGCAATATACAACGAAAGGAATGTACATCATTCAGATGTTCATTTACTGGACTGCTAACATCTAACTGGCGATCACTCAATATTTATCGTCAGGATCGACTAAGAAGAAAGAAACGGAAACTTGTTGAAATACTTTACGCTGAGAATTCTGTATTGTATCAAAAATGTAATATTGAATAAAGCTTGTAATAATAATAATAAAATAGTAATAAGGTTAAATATGATTTAGTTTGTGGTAGTAACTGGTTAAAACAAAAATTTGAATTCTTCAAATTACATATCCATTCCAATTGATTGATTTTAAATACACTATACTGGAAAACATTTTCCAATTTCTTTTATACATTAAAATTGTATCTATCATAGATTGATCTTAGTTGGAGATATCATTAAGCACATAAGTTGAGATGATTTCACAATGATCTTACAATAGGTTGTTACCGGGGTGATAAGTCTTGTCGACTGAACGCTATATTTATTTCCTAAGCTATTCCGATGATCCGCACGCTAGAACTACACAGCGACCTGACCACCAGAGAGAAGACGTAAGTATGAGAGAAAATACTTTATCCCAAGGTTCATTTTTGTACAGAAAATCATGGGTATTTATAGATGTTGGCGTCTGTTAAATCAACATCATATTTCAGCCAGTCCGTTAACGACATATCATGCTACCGACCAATAGTAGCACGCCACGTTGGAATTCTAGAATGTTCCATCATACTCTGACTGGCTTGGACTCTTCGGCTCCTTTTGGACCTCTGGAGGCTCCGTTGAAGTTCTCTGGAAGCCGACTCAACACGGGGTTTGTTTATGCATGTCCATAATCAAATAATCATCAGTGGGATTAGTTAATCATTGTACTATGCTAAAAATCATGATTGAAAATGTGTAACATGGGATGATAGCTCAGAGTTCATGTCCCGAAACCTGAAGGTTCTGAATTCCGTTCCTGGATGGGTCGTTAATGGAAATCACGGTGAGACTATTATTTATGGATGATTTTTTGAGCAATGGTAAGTGTCTTTGGGAATGTACACCTACTAACTAAGGCTAAATGAGTATTGTAAACCTGTGTGAAGAATAAACATTGTAATTTACAGTTGATTGTTAAGTTTAGGATTTAGATTAAGGATTTTCATCACGAACTGATATCAGCTATAATGTTTATTATTATTATTTATTTTAACACATACACATTGGTACAAAAAGGCACCAAATAGACATGCGCCACATAAATCAGTCGATTTATGTGAGGGCTGAGATACTGCCTGGGTGCCCAAACCGAAGCAGGTGGTTTTCTTAGGAGGCCACTCACCGAGCCTTTAACCTAAAGATCTGATCCACAAGGCAGTAGAGCAACGTAAGGAGATGCAGTCCCATGGAAGCCGGTGATCAACGATAGGTTCCTGCGCCATTTGTTGCTTCAGGATACTGGAGCCCATGTGCACCATTGGTTTGGAATCAGGGTCTTCCAACTGCCGTAGGTGGACTCTCCATGTCCACCAACCCGGTTAAAGCTATAATGCAAAAACGCACCAAAATCCAAAACCTGTTATCCTGAATCTGATTAGTTCGTCTATAAATTATAGTCTCGTCGAAACAGCGGAGGAGTCTAATGCTGGGATGAGTTTTAAAATCATATATTTTCAGTGAAGAATTTGTATTTACTATCGTTATAAATGATATACCATATAAAAGATCATTATTTATACTTTTATTGTGTACTTGCTAGACCTCTAAACTGTTGTATTTTTGTACTCTCTTATTTCTAAGCTTTTGTTTGAGTTATAAATCAATGTCATATGTCTTATTATTCCAGATTTGTCATTGATTAACTATTCCAGTATTACTCTGATATTGTATTACTTATGACTAATTTATGTCAGTCAGTAAGCTACAACGTAGGATCAGGCGCATATATGCATCAGTCCAAGTTTCCATACAGCATTAACACAACAAGATGGACACCGGATTCATAAAAGTAGTTAATTCAGTGGTTGTATTATTTATAAGAAAGATGGCATATAAGGATATAGTACAGGAAGAAAGAATTAGTTCGTAGAAGGAAAGATATGAAGTGATTTTAATTTCATAGTTTAAAAGAAGACAAAGTGTTTATACACATACGTCATTGTGACCGATCCTGGGCCATGTCATCCAGAATCTCCAACCATTGGTTACGATAGTCACGCGGATCCAAACCAAGTAGTCTGCATCTACCAACATGGCTCAGACTAGAAGTTAGTGACTGCAAGCACTGATGCCACGTATTGGTTTGGCCACCCCTAACCTTCTTCTAATCATCCCCAACATTAGTCAGCATTGTGGGTCGTAGTAATCGGTGTTCAGTCATACGTAGCATGTGACCCAAACATCTCAGTCGACGAACATTTACAACCTCATCAACTGATTTACCATCATTCCCTAATATCCTGCGTTTAACCTCACTATTACTTACCCGGTGATCCCAGCAGACACCAGCAATTTTTCTAAGGCATCTGTGGTCAAATACTAGTAGCTTATGAATATCTTTTACTCTTAATGGCCACGTTTCGTAGACGTAAAGTAGAACAGAATGAACTGCTGTGCAGTATACTCGTCCTTTTGTTGATAGACGGATATCTCGCCTTCGTCATAGGTGACGAGCTTTACGAATCCGTGCTCAGATTTTGTCAGACACCAATGCATTAGGGCTGATCACTAATTTATGTACATATTATAAATTTGTAATTATGCTGCTGTGTGATCAGACATTTCCAGTATATTATTGTATGAACTTTGAGTAATGGTTGAACTGAGTGCAAAAGAGAATTGATTTGCCTCCTACTTTCGTCTTCTGATTGGTTACTAGGTTAGAAGGAGTTTGAGGACCAACAAGTATTAAGGTCTTCGTTATTCACTGGTTGATATGTCAGTTGGTAAACAGAAAACCATCGGCTCCACTAGAAATATAGTTGAACTAATATATAATCGGATTAGAGAGAGTTTATAGAACTGGTTTCCTGTCATTAAGGCTCTATCACACAGGACCCAATATAATTCAACCTAATCAACAAAACCACGCTGTTTTCATCTGGCATAACAATAATCTACTCTATCATAACCACTCGACGTAAATGGATATTTTAAAGGATTCATGATGACTGATGTATAAAAGATAGATGAAATTTAGTATTGATGAGATTTCATTTTATTACACAAGCTAATTACCAACGTTTGATCTTGAATTAAATCATTTGTAGGTAGGAAAGTGTTAGGACCCGAGTTCTACACAGTAGATTAATTATTGCTTGATATAATGGAAAGAAAAGTCAATTTTTCGATTGATTTACTCATTATGAGTTTTATTCAACATTCAACATCCGTTTTGATTCAACATGAGGATCATTCAGTGTAGTATTTGATTTGTTTTCCCAGTATGATATTTTCTTCTGTATAATAAACGAGATATTCTTGTATTCAATTGACATGAACTATGTTCAGTTAGTGATTTGTTATAACTGAGTATGTGATTTCATCCTAATTATTAATCAAAATGGGTGTATGAATCAATATATAAACCAGTGTATTTTAGACTATTTTGATTCGTCGTCGTCGTGTTTTGGGGCTAACAAATCATCACTTATATCAGTCTTTGTGTTCCTACTTTCGCATCGTGGGAATTGCTGAGGTCCCTCGTTCCGAGTATAAGTGATCATCGCTTTTTGTTTTTCCGGCACAACAATTGGCGACGACCGAATATAAAAGATAGTGAATTGTGTAAAAATTACTAATTGCTGTGATAATTTGTATTATATCCCCTCCTAATCTGTAAATTAAATCATCGGCTTTGTGTACTTAATAACTCAATTAAGTAGAAGTATACTATACTGACTTAAGGTAGCGACTAACGAAATTTTGTATGGAATCCAGAATACGATAACATATTGATGTGAACAGAGAAATAAAGAAGCCGAAGACGAACAACGGAAGTTATTTTTGGGAAAATTATTTCACTGAATTCAAAGTTTGTAAAATACTAACATTTAGTTTTGCTCCTGGTTCATTCTATAGAACGCAAGCTTTCATTCGATCCATGATTCACTGCCACAACTTTTTTCAAGACAAAATTATTGTAACTTAGACGTAACCCTTTGTACTTCACTTTTCTACCCTGATGTTTAGTGTGGACATAATTTTATTTTTTCTAGTTGTTTGTGTGTTGTGGTCGTGTTATTTATTTATTTGTTTATGTTTTTTCCACATTAATCAGAATCAAGAATCAATGGAGTAAAGTCGCAGTCGACTCATCTTTCTTTCATACACATTTCATCCAATCAAGTGACAGAATAGTTTTCGTCCATGCCTCGGACATGGGCATTATTAGCGTCAAGGTTGAACTAGTTAGCCTGTCGTGTCAAGGCTTTAGCCTAGATTTAAACCAGTCCTCTCATGTGTATTGTTGGGAGATGGATCAAAAACGTAAGACGTATAATTTGAGATAGGGTACGTGTCTGTGAATTAGCAGCGGATGTATATTAAATGTTCAATATGTACTCGGTATCAAGTGTTTTCTAGGGCTTTTCCGTTGATTTAGTGGGTGAGCACTGGGTATAATTCTCACTAAGGATTGTATTGTGATCCATAAGTTTCACATTATTTGCTTTTCCCATCCAGCGAGTCCGGATACTTATCGATGGCATGTGCAAAGAAGACAGATGTAGATCTCTTCAGATGACTGAAACGAAGTCCTCAGTGAAAGTCATCCTCTCCTTTAATCGAAAATGCTAGACATTTTAGTCTTCTTAACATTGGAAAAAGGATGGTTAGGTTCACACGACAGTTTACATTTTATAAAATGCTGATTGAATACTACCAGTATTTCGTTACTAAAATGTCTGTAATCGATGGACACAGGAGAATTAAACAAAAGAAGTCGTAAGGGTAAATTAAGAGTTCATGATATTTAAAATTAAAGAACAAACTATATAATTGCTCTTCCATATAATCACAAGAGGTTCTTCACTCAATTCGTAACCACTACTCTATATCGTGACCGTAAATTCTGTTTCTGATTCCGATTCCTAACCACGACCACAAATTCAAACCTTGACTCTCACCCTAAAATCAGAAATTTTGTGGGCACACTACGTTACATATTATTCATTTATACTCCTTGTATTCTGATTGACTGGAAATTGGGTTTACTGTCGGAGGGTTATATCAAGACTACATAAAGGTCATTAGTAGATTATAAATTCACTCTATGTTGATGTGCAAAATACCGCTCAATAACAATATTAATGTTAAAGATAATAATAATTCTAAGATGCAGGTACATCCAGCTAACGAGTCCCAAATAAAACGAAACATGCGTCCTGGGTTTGACTTCTAGCTACCATCTATAATTGCTTATAATGCTTGTGACTCAGAGCAATATGGAGACAGTTCGTACAGGATGTACATATGCCAATAAAAGACTGATCAATCTCAGTTTTAAACATCAATGGGAAGATTCAAACAAACAATACAAAATGGAAATATCAGTGATAGTATTATTAATAATAATAATAATACTGATCAAATATATACTTACCGAATAGACTGAGGCATTGCTACAGAAGAAACATCCGACTGAGCTGAATTTAAAATATCTCCATAATGCAATTGTTCAATACACTAAAGATGGAGTATTTGTAATGGAGAAAAAAAGAACAATATGAAATAACTATTAAAACTTCTTTTAAAAAAACAGTTCAGTATCGAATTCTTTAGTCATTACTCAGAACATGATGTATTGAAATGATAACATAAAAGAGAGGACTGTATGAATACAAATGATTTCTTTTAATAGTTGCATTCATTTAGACAATTGTCAGAAAGATCTTTGGTTATCTCTTTTGGTTTTGTTGGTAGGCTCAGTGGTCTAGTGGTTAAGTACTCGCGCGCGAAACCACTAGGTCTTGGGTTGGAATCTCGCAGGGGGCCAGGTCGTGGATGCGCACTGCTGGGGAGTCCCACAATAGGACGAAACTGCCGTCCAGTGCTTCCAGGTTTGCCTCCAAATGCCCTGGTACGGCCGAGAGTGGGGAAAGTCCGCTCTCCCTCTCGAAATGCTCTCATATGGTCACGCGTATATAGCCTCTGTCAGGGAAGTCCTACTCACTGCCTTCTCGCACCACGGGTGTTGTTTACGAAAATGAGAGGACGAAAAGCGAATGTCCGGCGCTTTAACCGGATTCCAAACCGATGTTTCACATGAGCTCCAGTGTCCCGATGGAACAAATGGTGTATGAACCTATTGTTGGTCACCGGCTTCCATGGGACTGCATCTCCTCACGATGCTCCACTGCCTTGTGGATCAAACCTTCAGGTCGAAGGCTCGGGGTGTGGCCCCTTAAAAAAACCAACTGCTTCGGTTTGGGCACCCAGGCAGTATCACAGCCCTCACATAGATCAAATGAGATTTGTGTGGCGCATATGTATTTGGTGCCTCCCTGTACTAATATCTATGTGTTAAAATAAATAAATTTGTTGATAGACGTTAGCTTTTCCCTGTAATCAAAACTTTGAATACACTTCTTTTTTGTCGAATTTTATATTTCCATCTGACCTTAACTTTTGTGTAATTGATTGTTACCACTTTTAATTTTCTAATTTGCTCTTCCCTCATAATCATCTCTTAGTATCACATATACAGTTGTTCTACTATAATTTTTCACTTTGTTGAATATTGAATACTTTTTCTGAACTCACATCTTCTCTTTAGATCACATTGTTAGAGGATCATCATTAAGTTGTGTGAATAATTCCTTGTATGATCGAGTTCACATTAGTAGAATCTTGATCATTTCAATATATAACAACAACTTAATGTTATTTGATATAAGTCAAGAGTTATATATATATATATATGACAGATTTTATTTACTTCAGTGGTTGAGATCATGAGTTAATTGAAGCGAAATCACAACGGAAAACCTAGAAGCACTGGACGATCGTTTCGTCCTATTGTGGGACTCCTTAACAGTGTACATCCACAATCCCGCTTCACAAAATTCGAACACAGGACCTATCAGTCTCGCGCGCGAGACTGATTGTACTATTGGCGACAATCAATATATAATCTCGAACACTTGTTACAACATGGCTATATCATGGTAATACTCTAAAGATGTATATATTATTAACAAAGATTGACTAAAATCTAATCCCAAGTATGGACAACAGAACCATACAAACCCTTACTCTAATGATTTTAAAAATTCTCTGTATATTAATATATCAAATCAGACTAACTCATTAGTTTATTTGCGTTTTAATTTGCGATGACTAATGATATTTGGAGGGTTATATGCATTCTAGAGAGTACAATATCTCATCTCTACACCATTTTAACAATAATAATTCACTAAGCAACTGAAGAGAAAAAAATAGGAATCCAGGAGAAGCATGAAATTCCAAAACGTGGGAATTACAATACAACAAATGTATTTATATCAGCAACAACTAAGACTACGTGACATGTAACGAAGACGGTGAACTATGTAAAGCAAAAGATATTAGGTTACTGGGATAATATGAATGGAAAAAATATTACCGAGGGCTTTCTCGCTCGTCAGAACTATAGTTAGCTTTAACAATAATTAACAAAACTAGACCATTTGAGGTCTTCCTCAACAGTACGTATCGTGTGAGAAGAAAACAAATGGGACACATCATAATATATACATCATTATTACTGTTCAACTATTTCGATAATCTCCTAACTGATAACTATCATGTGATCACCAGTGAATAACTTCAAGAGGAGATTTCTAAATTTCTAATAAGTCATGATTAGTAGAGTATAGTTGAGTCGACTTGGAGGAACATATTCATCTCAGACAATGAGAGATGGCTGTGTAATATCACATATTGATTTAAGTTGGGCTGGAAATAAACGTTCAATCACTAGACCAAACGCCCTAGGTCCAAACTTGTGTGGTGTTCCCATGGATGTACACTATTGCAAAGTCCCATACTAGGACGTAAACAACTATCCAGTACTTCCAGATTTTTAATGATTATCCAACTGAGATCTATTCATGATCTCAGTAAAAGTCTACAATGCCTATACTGATCATTATAATACTTGCTACGTCTCAAAATGTTTGTTTTTTTTAAAAAAAGGTTTTGTTTGTAAAAACAGATCTAAAAATCAATAATATCCATGTGATAATTTGAAAATAAAATTAACCGGTTGGAAACAAAATTGTTTAGTCTGGTATTTATTATTATTATTATCGACATATTCGATTATGGAGTTTACCACAATTTAATTTAGGCATGTATCAAAAATAAATCGAGTCGACCAGGAAATAATCAATCGATCGATCAGTCAAAAATGAAAAAAAATGCATGACAACAATAATCATATTTATAGTCTCTAGTTTTGAATGAGCTATCAGTTAAAGACAAAAATCATTATATCTAATAAAGACAATATAAACACAGACATATATGTTGTATGTGGGTTGTCGGTAGTCAGCAATAAACCCTACTTGAAATATTAGTTAGTATTCATCGGCAATGCATACCTACAATCTTAAAGGAATCAATGTTTCCTGAATTATTCAAACCCATTTCAATCAATTTCATTGTCTGTAATGTTGCAAATGTGATATTTATATAGTGACTGACTTTTAGTAAGATCGATTGACTTACTATTCCTTTAGTGCTTGTCAAAATTTTATTGATCAAATAGTAATGGGGCCATCAGGATAGTGCTAACTAACATATAACTTAAGTCAAATTGGGTTTACTTCCGATTAATTTTTAACCACTTGACAGTGCATGCGATATTGATTTACTTGAGCTAGTGACAATAGTGTAACTTCATTAACAAGATATGATTATCACTAAATAACTAAACACACATGATTTTGATCATGGATTAGTGATTAGTCAATTTCAAATCTATTTCTGAAAGAAAAAACTTAATCAAATCTTCGTGTTAGAATTCAATTATGAACAATACCGGTTACTGATTTTAATCTTCTCAAACTATAGGTTATTAATATATCAGGATTGTGGCTAGCAGTTAAATGTAGGATGTGAGTTTCGTTCTATCAGGGGCTTGTTTTCTGGAGATATTCTTCAATTCAAATGTCAGTGTTCTGACTGAGATTCGAACCTAGAGCTTATTACTTTAAATGTCAAAGCGTTATTAAAAGTCGCTTACTATAGATAATTTTTTGATCATGTAACTAAAAAGCGGCATCGAAAGAATGTGCTCGAGATTTATACAAGCCATCGAAGATGTGTTATCTGTAGTCTTTGGTATCAACAATAGAAGATTTCAAACATCTGGAATAAACTTTTACATAAATTACTTACTTTCAAGTTCGTCTTTTTCAGACTCGGAACAATATCAGCTAAAGAGTTATTGAGTACCAAGAATGTACTAAACAGATGTCTTATCCTACTTAGGACTTGTGATAGGTACCTCACCCATGACTTCACATAAGATGTTGTTACGATCTGTCAGTCTGATAAAATCACAATACATGCGTCTCCTGAATTCATGACCCAATCAACTGTGTAAAGGTAAATAGACTGATGAAGCATAGGAAGTTTCATCTCAAAACTCGAATTATTTGGTACATCAATCATATATATATATAAAGTGTGCAACACAAAAATGTGTGGCTGGTTACCTGCAAGCCCTATTAAGTTTCCATTTCTCGTCTCAACATAGTTTTCAGATGACATGTGATCGGTTTGGAACCACCCGATCTGTCAAATGTAAATTAAGGGCTCTTGGATCATAGAGTAGTCATGATACCTGTTGACGATAGAACTAGAAACCAATAGTTCATGCTTTCAAATTTGATTATTTAATGACAGATTGTGACAATCATCTTATCGTCATCGGATTGTAAATGTCTCAGCCTCAGTAACTGAAAACACTTGTTAGCAAAATGTCGATTATGTAGATTACTGGATTATATACCAGAGGTTAGAGAATATTTCACCCATGATAAGATCTTATGTTACTGAACTGGATCAAGTGCTGAGTTATGGATTCACATTAATTTTAAATCTCATGATCGCTAGAAGTAACTGCTAAGTCCTATTATTTTCTAAATAATTTCAATGATTGGTGAAAACCGACTTACTTAAAACCATTGACACAAATGATTACTAACAGATATTTTCTGTCTGCAATGAAACAGATTTGAGACCAGTCGTGTTGACACATTTAAAAGTGATATGTATAATCAAGCTAACCTGTGACAGGTCAAAGATGAAAAACAGACAATCCAACTGGACCAGCTTATATCGTAAAATTCATAGCACTTTGATTCCACCTACTAATTATTCCTTACTGTCTTCTCGACTGAACTATCGACAATTGAGTCCAATGTATCATGTAACCATGTTCTAGTGTGTTCAGTCTGGTATCGAGAACAAAGCACTTTTCTTCGTTATAGAAGGTTGTCACGATTTAATCAGAACCCAACAACATTTCAAAGTGTTGTTTTTTTTGGGGGGGGGGTGACTTTGTACTATTTAGATTCACTCAACAAAGGGAAAAGCAAGATTCGCCGATACAACACAGAATGCACAAATCCAATCACAATTGACGGGGAAGATTTGGAAGATGTAAAAACGTTTACATATTTGGGCAGCATCATTGATCAACATGGTGGATCTGATGCAGATGTGAAAGCGCGGATCTGCAAAGCAAGAGCAGCATATTTACAATTGAAGAACATCTGGGATTCAAAACAACTGACAACCAACACCAAGTTCAGGATTTTCAATATAAATGTCAAGACAGTTCTACTGTATGAGGTGGAAACCTGGAGAACCACGAAAGCCATCATCCAGAAAATACAGGTGTTTATTAACAGTCGTCTACGCAAAATACTTCAGATCCGTTGGTCAGACACTATTAGCAATAACCAACTGTGGGAAAGAACAAACCAGATCCCAGCGGAGGAAGAAATCAGGAAGAAGTGCTGGAAGTGGATAGAACACACAATGAGGAAAGCACCCAACTGAGTCACAAAATAGCCCCTCACATGGAATCCTTAAGGCCAAAGGAAAAGAGGAAGAGCAAAGAACACATTACGCGGAGAAATGGAGATAGACATGAGAAAAATGAACAAGAATTGGATGGAATTAGAAAGGAAGGCCCAGAACAGAGTGAGTTGGAGAATCCTGATCGATGGTCTATGCTCCATTAGGAGTAACAGCCGTAAGTGAGTAAGTAAGTAAGTAATTTCGTGGTTTGTTGATAACAAGTATAAATCGTAATCTAGTTGAATTAGTCCTATTAATATTCATATTTAGTGATCAATTGAAATTCACTAATTATATATTCTATGTCTGAAGACTTTGTTTTTATCCAAAATGTAAAATTTCCAGATCATTGCAAGATATTATTTATATTTATAATAGTATGTATGTTGATTGATCCAACTCAGTGATCTTTTGTTTTAGGATAATTATAATATTTTCTTTTTTTAATGCCTTAGTAGCAGATTAGAATCCCATCCCATCTACTTTTATTTACTTAATTGAGTAGTGTTACTAGTCTTCACACATTGAGTGTAAATCAGTTGCTGTGGACAATTTGTTTTATTGAGAATCAGTTCTTAATATATAATATAGTACATCTTGGTAAACAGCATTAATCTGATGTGAATCATTCGTAAAAAAATAAACAAACATTAGATTTGTAATAGAACTATATTCGGTGATGTAATTGATGACATAAAAAAACTTTCTACATCAAACGAGTTATTATATTTTTTTTGAAAGAGACGAAAACTACCTATCTATCATATTAAATAAAGATCAAAAACCTAAATCAAAGAATCCTTGGTAGCCATTTTGTACTCTTTTTAGCAGAATATAAGCAATAACACAGTCAACATTTTTGTGAAATATGCGGATGATCTCATTGTACGTATGCCTATCTCTAACTCTTTACATCCCATTGAAATGAATGAGTTTTTGTCTCGTATGGATTGTTGGTCTGTTGTTAATGGTCTCATAATTAATCCGTCTAAATGTCAAGCTGCTAACTTTAACATGAGACATGAATGGCATGTAAACACCACTTTGAGATCCCATAATGCTTGTGCCATTGGAGACTCTTTGATAAACACAGTGTCGAAGGTCAATTATCTTGGTGTTACCTTTTTCTCTGATCTCTCTTGGTTTTCTCACGTTTTATTGTTATCGAAGAAAGTTTTCCGTCTGACTTACTACATAAAGAGACTGCATGCTCTTGGGATTACTTGTCATTTACTCGTACAATTTGTCAATCCTTGCATATTACCTATTATTCTTTACTGTTCTCCATTATTCTTTCCCGGGCTTTTGAGGAAAGACTTTGCTGTATTGCGGAGAGTGCTGAAGGCACTTAACAAGGTGTGTGGTGAATCTTTCGAGGTCATAATTAACATGGTTGTGGATAGACATCTAAAGTCATGCAAACTCCTGGCAGATGTTATCTTATTAGATACTAACCATCCTCTTCACTCTTATCTTTTTCCTTGTATATCTTCTGGTAGAACGAGACGTAATCACATTAAAATCCATGTACGCAAACAAAAGTATAAAAGTTCTATAATACCTTACCTAGCAAATATACTCTGTGACGAACAGGTTGTTATAGTTAACCTAGTCAATAATCTGCATTCTTAACATGTCTCTAATTTGAAAAGTTGTACAGTTTTTCAGATTTTTTTTAAACCTTTATTTCCCTCTTTGTCTTTGTTTCTGTTTTTTGTGTGTAAGAAACTTGTTGAAATACCTTGTGTTGAGAATTCTATATTGTACCTCAAATATAATATTGAATAAAGCCATTAATAATAATAATAATAACACCAATTTTAACCGAAATCAGTAATCATCAGGTTTAATGTTGAGAATGAAATCTTTTGAACCATTTAGTCAAAATTCACTAGATGACACATTATTGTTCAACCATTCAGTAAAACAAATCATTGAGGCTATTTGTATCCGTTCACAGGATCAATAAAAGTGTTGTATCAGTCACTTTCAATCATATTTCATTTCAGTTAGTAAGTAAACATTGCATACTTGTATGTAATTCTTACTAGTAATTTTATTTGTGGCCCAAATTTTCCATCATACTTATGTTTTCCATCCCACATATTAATCTATGCCACACTAGTATGTTCATAGTCGACTATGGTTTCGTGGTTTCCTCATTTGTTTGAAATGAAATCCTCAGTAAAAAGATACTCAAAAGATACTCAGTAAATCAGTTGAAAGGTGGTTAAAACTACTAAATACAAGACACTTATTAAATCTTCAAAATGTTACGGATAACCAACCATTTGAACCAAGTACTAACCATATTCATTATCACTACTTAGATGAGTTTACAGCAAAGCGAGCAAAACTCCGTCTAGGGTCCCTCCGGGGACTACTGCCGGTCCAAAGCCCGGATAAAGGAGGAGGGTTGGGCATGAGTTTACAATCTTACCCAATTATAAGTTCAAAAGTTTAAGATTGTTTTTTTTTTTGACAAAATGAACTAATCTGTTAGACTACCAGAGTTTTCAAGTTTTCAATATTGTTTGTTCAACTATTTAACTAACTAACTAACTAACTTACTTGACTAATATCAGAACACCATGCAGCTTTCTCTTGTAATGTTGATGCAACAAGCCATATACTTGTTGGTTGACCATTTTTTGGTTCCCATATTAAACGAAAATCTAAATTACCATAATCTGTTTTGTCATTAATACATGTATTATTATTATTGTTATTGTTAATTGAATTAAATAAACCCATATTACTACTGAATCGATGTAACATTGAAAATGATAATGGACTTGTCGGTTGAATACATGATGATGATGATGATGTTAATAATGGACTAGAATTCGTAATATTTATATCTGGTGTTATTATTGTTGTAATTATTGGTGAAGTTATTGTTGAATATGATACATTGGAATTATTACGACCATGTAGAATAGAGGAAGAAGAAGTATTAATAGAGTTCATTGTTGGTGTCATTGTAGTGGCAGTAATAATATTAGTAGTTGTCATTGTAGTAACAGTAGTAACTAAAACTGCACGAGCTTCATCGATTGTATTAATAATAGGAGAATAACTATCCGTACTACATATTGGTGTAATAAAACAGTTTGTCATTGCATCATGTAAATCATTCTCATTATTACTAATATTAGTTCCTATGCATAATGAGGTAGAATGTCTATGTTGTGGAGAGAGACATGGAATCGATTGTTGTTGTACTGTACCTGTTATCGTTGTAGACTTTGATATTGAATCCATTTGATTTGATTTATTTACATAGGTATATCGATTAAGTGTTGAATCTGGACATATGTAACGTTTATGTAAATTCTGTGGAAGTTGTTGACCTAATTCAAATGTAGTATTACTAATACTATTACTTGTTGTAGTAGTATTAATAGTAGAAGTGGTACCAAGTGTACTCATTGGAATAGAATTACGCGTATTTAATTCAACATTAGTATTTACATTTAGTGATGTTGTATTGTTTTTTGTCATGTGTGATGTATTGTCTTGTTGACATTTTTGTTCATTTGTAACATTCAATTGTTCTAAATATTCAAAAAATAAAGGAATAATTATTCATGAAGAAGACAACACGAAGAATGGTAGAAACAAACAATTAAGTTTATTGTTTAAGCGGAAGGGATATCCATATAATATAAAAGTATAGTATTATATTATATCAATAAGAGAGCAGCACTGAAAACCTAGAATCATTGGACAGCCATCTTGTCTTAATATAGTGCTCCTCAGTACAGTACACCCAAAACCTTGCACACGGGAATCGAACCTAGAACTGTCAGTCTTATGCACGGATGCTTAACCCATAGAGCATAGAGCAATCATCCAATATTTTTTGTTTCATAGTAATTACTATGCCACATACCTTGTCCAAGCATTTAAAAAAAAAGACAGGGATGGTTACCTTGTAATCACAATTGATTGATCACTGGGTGGTGATCAATGTCATGCGTGTCTAGTCCTTATTAGTGCAGATCGAATGCTATCGATCATGTTGCAATATGGCCACCAGTCTAGGTGACTGCACTGTGATTACATCTCAGTCCTACAGGTGGTCGATCGCGACTCGGATAGCTCAGTGGTAACGTCTCTGACTGTGAAGCTGGGTGACACGTGATCGAATCCTTCAGGAAGCACCAGTTCCCTCAGATTACAGGTACACCTTGCTGGCGAGTGTCAAGTAGCACGAAACCCGGGTCCAGGGTTTCCTGTCGACTACCTCCAACCACCATCTAAAATGGTTACCTTGTTGTCGGTCATTAGTTGAGTTATCAGTTAATTTATCGATTTATCTGAAGAAACCTGAATTCTATATCAGATCAATGAGGTTCATCATTGAAAGATGAAGTCATTCTCTACATCTTCATGTGTGAATTAAATCATTTTTTAAAAATCAATTTCTCTTTCAAAGGAAAGAAACAATATCATCATGTAATCAATGTCAAGAGAAAAAAAAACATTGAAACATGTAATTACTTTCTTCTTAAAACTTACCTTCATCATCCACATTGAATAATTCTGTTGTAGTATCTTCAACTAAAGTACATTCAACCAATGAGATTTTACCACAGTTCTATAAGTATATATATACATTTAGATAACAACAAAAAGCATAAACAAATAGTAATTATTAATAATCAAAAGTAATAGTACATTTATTGTTCCTCAATCCGATTCTCGTATGTGACATTCTAGATCCGTACTACTGAAGTGTATCATATTAGGATGGTGGTTTAGCTATGATCAATTCGTGAGTTAAACTATTTAATAAGTATGGATATATAAATAGACTTTCAGTAGTGAAACAACAAAAATCCCATTCATATCTGAATGTATTTTCAATCATAATCACAATCCTGTTATGATAGAAGTATTCAGTTGATAAAATGGAGTTGTTCATTTGTTTTACAGTTAGCTTTTCGCTGTTAAAAGTTCATATGACATGAAATCAACAGATCGAGAGATTACTTTGAACAACTTATCAGTTAGGTTGATTCTTACGATATTCATCGTGACTACAACGTAATTCGAAGATCTTGTATATATAATAGTATCTCTTATGGATCCATTCGTTCATTATCTAATCTTAAGATTTTAAGTTTGTTTCAGATGCAAATGTATAAACTGTACAACTTTATTGATACCTGCTTTCAGTAAAGTTTAACCATTGAGATGCATCAATCATGGTGAAAAATGAAACTTCAAGGTCACTGAGCAAATTTAGAGCTAAAACGTTCGTTATCGCCTTCATGATTATTAATTTCATTGATAAGGACTTAATAAAGGTGACTCAAAATGTTAGATTGCTTAGAAACCCAGTCATTTATGATTGTAGATATAAAACAGTTGTAAAAGAGACCGGAGAAGAACAAGATGGGATGAAATTTAATTATAGTGGCTACTACATAATGAAAACAATCAAAGGATGTTTGCTTTGGGTGGTTTTGTTCTCTGAGCTAGATGATTTGATCGTGGAGCTTTCATCGTTATTTTGAACGATATCATCAGCACGAACTTCAGGTAGAACTGAAGTGACCGAATCTCTTCACATATGGCTCACAGCTTGTTTGGTAGACCTCGATCTTGATTGGTTATCGTTGATATTTAACCTGTGATCATTCCCTTCATTTTCGCCTGCACGAACACCAATTGCAATCAAACGTCATGACAGATCCTCGCTTATATAAATGCATGTGGACAGTTGTGCACACACATTCGACTGGCAAAATGTTGAGATCTTGGATAGAGGCAATTCTAAAAACACTAGAGGATTTTTAAAAGCTTGGAACTCATGTCAATCAACAATCAACAAACACATTGAAATCGATCCAAATTATCAACAAATCAAAAATTATAGACGAATATAAGGCCAAGAATCAAATCAATGGGAGTTACAATCAAAATAAAAAGGTAAATAATGACAGGTTAAACGTCAACAATAACCAACCAAGGTCGAGGTCGACAAGTTGTGAACCATATATAGAGAAATTCGAACATTCCACCTTTACCTGAAGTTTGTGCTGATGATGTCGTTCAGAAGAACGATGAAAGCTCCAGGACTAAACAAAACTCCACCAAAATCACTCACTTGAGCTACAAATCTTCTCTACCATCTCGATATTTGTTTTATACTCGTTTAAAGTTGTGACACAAAAAAACTAAACTAGTGTTCTTATATATCCTTCAGAGTAATTGTACCATCCAGTACAAATGTTTGAGTACTTAGGATTTATTTTTTTAAGTTTAAAAGTCATTCAGTAAATGCAGACCGAAATCTTGGAAGATGTTAGAAAACTATTTACGGCCATATGAACACTCTTAAATAAAGATCTTTTGAAGTCATATGGATGGATTTCTTCATACTGAGTTCAAGACAAAATGGAAAAACAGTAAATCTGTTAAAACCAGTAATAATTTATAATTTAATAGTTCAATTCATGAGTCAATTAAAGCTAGACCACCATGGAAAACCTGGAAGGATTAGACGCCCGTTTCGTCCTGTTGTGGGACTCCTCATCAGTGCGCATCCGCGATCCCGCCCCGCGAGATTCAAACTCAGGACCTATCGTTGGCGCAATTTTGTGGATTGGTTGAAGTTAGATATCAACACGATTGGATGGCAGCCCAGTGGTCTAGAGGTCGTGTGTTCGCGCGCGAGACTGGCAGGTCATGGGTTCGAATATCGAGGGGTGGGATCGTGGATGCACACTACTGGGGAGTCCCATATTCGAGCGAAACGGCCGTTCAGTGCTTTCAAGTTTTCCATGATGGTCTAGCTTTAATTTGCTCATGAATCCAACTATTAAATCACTAAAATCTCCACAAAACCCCTTTCTGATGATACTTTATAATTTATTTTATTTCATCATCTTATATTACTCATTCACACCACTTATTTTTTGATTGAATAAATGTGGTGAGAATTCTCTAAAGGTCATTCCAATTTACACTAACAATTGTTCTTAATACGTAAACTGAATGTCAGTACCTCAGCTGAATGAATGAACTGGTATCTCTGTAATTCATCACATTAGCATGACGAAAGAACAACATATTGTAGCAGCTAAACTTCACCGACCTGAGTGTGTTAAATCATACAGGCTCTGAATGTATACAGTTTTAGCTTGAGTAATGTAAATGCTTCATTATTATTGGTTGAATGCATAAGCTGAAAAAGACTATACAGCTCCTTCAACTTTACAATCAATTTCGATAGTATGCGCTGATGGAATCCTTTTTGTCGTAATCTTACACCATAAAACACTAAATTTCTTGATAAATCGAATACAGTTTAGAGTTATTTTTCAACTTAAAGATAATAAAACTGGTAGGACCATTGGGTTATATGTTTTACAGTCACACTGTCTATTGAGTTGTAGTTATTTTTAAAACATACAGGATAGATCGAACGTATGATCTTTATATCACTATTAAAACCGGTTTGAATTATCCTGTTGTTGATATAGTTGACTGAATTTTGATCAGTTTTAGTCGACACATGTAAATCTAGAATGGATTGCCTCTATTACGTAATAATGATACAAGAAAGAAATGTATGTACAATGAATTTCAAAATCAATATATTATCCCAATTTTGTTTAAAACAAATCATTAAATATTAAAGAACTTACTTTGACTAATCTTAATTTACCATTATTAGTACGAGCAGTAATCAATAAATGATTAGTGAATAAAAATACTTGACGTACAGCTTCTTTTCTTTCACGATAAGACGATCCAAAATTTCCTAATCTTGGACGAGAGGAACGTAATTTGTCACACATAACTTGAATTAATGTACCTGATCAATAAAGAAAACAAAATTTGATATCAGAAGAGGTATTGTGGATATTATAGTAATTTCGATGTTTGCGATCATGAGTCAGTTGAAGATAGACCACCATGGAAAACCTGGAAGCATTGGACGGCCGTTTCGTCATGTTGTACGACTCCTCAGCAGTGCGCATCCACGATCCTCCCTCCTGCGAGATTCAAACTCAGGACCTCTCAGTCTCACGTGCAAGCGCTTAAGCACTAGACCACTGAGCCGACTGGTATCCAACGGTGTTAATGTTTAACTCTCTTTCTCTTTCTTCTGGTGGTCGACTGGGTTATGAAGACCGAGACATCTTAGGGAAAGCACAGCATACGATGGACAGCTCAGAACCAATTAAACGGTTTGGACTTCACAGGTGACCTATCCCTCTTATCCCATACACATGAACAAATTCAAATGAAGACAACTAGTGTAGCAGCAGTCTCTGCATCAGTAGGCCTCGACATACACAAAGGAAAAAGCAAGATCCTCAGATATAATACAGACAACACCAACCCAATATCGCTTGGTGGCGAATCTGTGGAAGATGTGGAATCCTCCTTGTGTTTGGTCGGTATCATCGATGAACGAAGAGGATTTGATGCAGACTTAAATGCAAGGATTGACAAACCAATGGTCACACCCCTACAACTGAAGAACATATGGAATTCAAAACAACTCTGTCAACCAATATCAAAGTGAGAATCTTCAATATCAACGTCAAGGCAGTTCTACTGTGTGGAGCTGAAACGTGGAGAACTACTACAACCATCATCAAGAAGGTACAAGTATTTATAAACAGTTGTCTACACAAGACACTCAACATCCATTGACCGGATACCATCAGCAACAGCCTTTTGTGGGAGAGAACAAACCAGCTTCCAGATGAGGATGAAATTAGAAAAAGACGATTGAAATGGATAGGACATACATTACGTGAATCGTCAAACTTCATGACGAGGCAAGCGCTAACTTGGAATCGTGAAGGGAAGCGGAAAAGGGGAAGGCCAAAGAACACATTACGTCGGGAATAAGAAGCAGATATGAAAAGGATGAATAGCAAGTGGAAAGAGCTGAGAAGGATTGACCAGGACAGGGTTAGATAGAGAGTGCTGGTATGTGGTCAATGCTCCTTCACGAGGAGTAACAGACAGAAGTTCTATGTAGATAATTATTAGGATTTGTTTTCTATTACAAAGAAATAAAAAAGGGAAACGGATCGGGTCAGTGATGTTGTTAGTGGGAATGAATTAACTGAATTTTTCTTGGTTGAGTTGTCTGAGATTGACCACTAAATACTTAATTCATTTTTATTTATTATTTGAACCTTTCTATGGATGTTTAGGAATGCAATGGGTTATTTTGGATCGGAATATGTGGATTTCATGCAGGTTGTCTCGATATTTCCACTAATTCATAAGGAAAGTTGAACGTATCCTGAAAAGAGACTGATCAATTGAAGTCCTAAATATTATTGGGGAGATTCAAACAATCAATACAAATGAATTAAAATTTAATCCATCACACAAGCTAGTGGCTATCTGAATTCAAGTGCTAAGTGGATAACACGTTGGCGTTTAAAATGAAATGTGCTGAGTTCAAGTCCCGGAGTAAACAATCTCATTGAGATATGACAGGTACATCCAGATAACGAGTCTTAAATAAGAGAAAACTCGCATTTTCAGGTTCTTATTGATAGTCATTATCTGTTGTTGCTTCAAATGCCTATAATCGTTATTTATAACTGGTTGCTATAATATGAAGTATAAAAGTTGAAGCTGACATAAATAGAAAACATTTATCTGGAAATAGATCAAGAGAGTGTTTATTGTATGCGGAGGAGATGTGTTTTTTCGCTGGTGATTTCACTCTCGAAGCCATACAGGATTATGGATTACAATTATATTGTAAAAGAATATATTTGTCTTTTTGATGTTCATTATTGTTCGTCATGTTAAATGATCTATTTTCATAATGTTTTGAGTGGTATTTATCATTTGATCTCAATCGGGGTACCATTAGAGAAATTAAGGGAAACTGGGGAGCTGTTTTATCTGCCCTATCGAACTCCAAGACTATCGCATCCATCACCCCGATAAGGACCTAGAATAGAACCTGCTGATCTCGAGTCACGTGCTTAACAATTATACCAGTCTGGTGATCGTGATACTCAACGATTCGCATTTTCAATCTCAATAAATTTTTGGTATATTTTATTGCATAACATTCCCGTAATAGAATGAAACAATAGTGGTACTTCACTCTATGGCGTATATCCTCTATAAACTAAACAGGTATATACAATCTGCCCACTCCCGACTAGTACAATTTCCTTGATTACTTATCTTTTCCTAAGTCTTCATGACCTGACTGATGAATCCGGATAATCTTTTCCTTGAAATTTATTATACATTTCGTGAATAGATCCAATATATTAATGTTAGTGACAATTTCAGCTTCGAAAATGCAACAACTGGAAAAGGTTCCCTCATTGTTTATCTTAGACTCTGAGGTCTATGCGAACGATTTTCACTATTCTCGATATGAAATTAATCATCAGGTACATTTTAATCATTTCTTCCTATTGACTTTCATCAATACATCTAGTTGCAAATTATCAAGTAAAATTAGTGGACTCATACTTGAGATGATGTTTCATTTATCCAGCTGAAAAACAAAATACCAACCTAAATAAGTGAAGATGATGGGTTAGTTTTCAAAAAAATATTTCAAGGAAATATCCAACACTATGACATCCAAATAATTTCTTTGTCAGTCAAGTCTTCCCCATTAGCTCCAATATTAATATAAGATTAGTTTTATTAAATACGCTGATTATTATCCATTCTAAGAATTCTATACAGTCTTGAAAAGTTCTGATGATATTCAATGTTATTCTAACAAGTATGTCACAATGCTACTACTACTACTACTACTACTACCACTGTGGTGCGTGCTACTTATATTGATATAAGTAGTATATAACGCGAGTCAGGAATGTAATGTCTGGAAGCAGAAGATGGGGACGATCAAGAAAGGAAGAGCGGGAATAGAAAGCAATTAGTATGGAAATGCAAGAACAACGAAGTTCGAGACAATTATTGAACATTTCGCAAATTAAGTATTATAGTATGGTTTTTCTATTTTACCAAGGAAATCTGTAACTTTGTGCTAAGTATAATTCGATTGTCCTCACCTGTGTTCTGTTCATTACACCACTACTATCACCACCATCATCACTACTACTGCAGTGAACAGGAACACGACTGGGGACAATCGAATGTATTTGAGTACGAAATTACAGAGTATTTCAATAAAATCTGAGAACCATATAGTAAATAGTTAATTTGCAAAATATTAATCCATCGTCTCAACCTTGAGTGTTCCTTTTGAGAATATCAGTCCATTGTCTCAGATTTCATTGTTCATGCATTTTCATACCAATTGCATTTCGTTCTTGTTCTTTTCTTATCGATCTTCTACTGAAATATACTCACCGCCTGTCCACCGTTATATACTACTTATATGGATATAAGTAACTCACACAATACTACTACTACTACTACTACTACTACTACTACTACTACTACTACTACTACTACTACTACTACTACTACTACTCTGGAGTTATCTTTCATTAATAATGAATGTTGTTTTTATCATTTTTCCTTTCAAGTTTTTCACCCATTTATCATAACTATCATCATTATTATTATTATTTGAAATCAATAAAAGATCTAGGGTCTAATATTATTTCTTCACAGAAAAACATTAACCAGATAAATGAAATTAAGGTCATATGACCATTAACTAGAAACAATGAAAATCAGATAAACCATAGAAACAAAATATGAATAAATAAATAAATATAAACAAATAAAAATGAAAAAAATTGACTATTGAACATTTAATATTCACTTGTTATTCATTGAGTATTATTTTTTTATTTGATTGTAATTGGTAATAGTTGAATTCATGAGTTAATTGAAGTTAAACCACTATGGAAAACTTGGAAGCATTGGATGATTGTTTCATCTTAGTATAGAATTCCTTAGTAGTGTACATCCACGATCCTGCCTCGGGAGATTCGAACTCAAGACCTATTGGTCTCAGTTGCGAACATTTAACCTTCTAGGTTTTCCATAATGATCTAGTTTCAATTAACTAATGAATTCAAGTATTAAATTACTATAATATCCACGAAACCCCTTTCTGATTATAATTTGATTAGATGAATGTGTAAACGCGTATGTGTGAGTGTATTTTTTGCGTAACATGTGGAAACATTTCGGTGAAGTTTTGTTCTCTGAGCTGGATGGTTTGGTCGTGGAGCTTTCATGTTCTTCTGAACGACATCATCAGCACAAACTTCAGATAGAAGTGAAGTGTTCGAATTTCTCCATATGTGTTTCACAGCTTATTCTGTGCACTTCGATGCTGATTGGTTCTTATTGACCTTAAATTTGTCATTGTTTACTTCTTTGTTTTGGTTGTGTCTCCCATTGGTTTGATTTTTGTTCCTATATTTCTGCATGATTTTCCTGATTGGTTTGTAAATTGGATTGATTTCAATATGCTTGTTGATTGCTGATTGACCTGAGTGCCAGGCTTCTAAAATTTCCACATTGGAAATCTTAGACAGAGAAAACTCCGAAAACACTAGAGAATCGTTCAGAAGAACGATGAAAGCTCCACGACCAAACCATACAGCTCAGAGAACAAAACTCCACCAAAATCATCTACCTGAGCTACAAATCTTCTCCACCATCTCATGTGGGAATATTTCAACGAGTTAGTTTGATAATTAAAATAATCTATAGTGTCATTGAATAAGAAAAAGAGAATTCAGTGATGAAAATCTTCTTATGGACGAAATCTTTCACTTAAGTTGTATATTCGTATATATATATATATATATATATATATATATATATATATATACGAAAAGGAGGATAGAAAAGATTGCATCACAAAAATGGATTTCAGACTAACTAACAACAATGCTCAATTTATTTGAAATTATCTAGTCAAACCTTGGTAATGATACCTATTTCAAAGTAAAGCTTCTCTCAAATATCCTGCCTCTTTCTTTCTGTCTTAGGTATAAGAGTATAAATCAATTATGTAAATAATTATATAATATATACCAATTTACAGAAATGATCAGGTTTATACCGACTGAAGTGTTAGATGTTAAGTGTAGAGATATAAAGTTAAATTCATTGAAAAGATATGATTCACAAACTAATTTGAGTGGGAATTTGTCACAGGGAATGAAATTTTGTGAATCGGCAGTTACAAAACTCACATTTCCTAATTGGAGGAATCATATACATATTGTATTGAGAGGCAGTTCAAGTAGTGTTACAGGCTAACTATAGTCATTTAAAAGATAACTCCTTGTAGATGACTGCTAAGTACTATGAAGAGTTAATGAAATCATTAACTAAGTATTTGAGTATCCAAAACAACATTTAATAATAATAATAATTAGATCATTAGGTATATTGAAGATAGATTGACACTATAAATCCAACAATAAGAATGAGTTATAAACCACTAGAGTGAAAACAAATTAACAACCAATGTATATCAAACCAGACAATTAACTATTCAGAAGTCAAAAATGTTGGGTATTGACAAAGATCCCTAATGTAAAATAAAAACAAATGATTATTACATTCCGATTTACTCATTAGAACTGTTTGTGATAAAATAGCTTAATCGTTTCTTAATTCGTAGTTACCATAGGTAGTTGGAAACAGTCGACATATAGTTGCTTTCATCAAGATTTAACAGGTTTATTATTTGAAAACAGAAGTTATCATAATTTCCAGTGGTTAATTGCATTGTAACAATGAATGGTAACTTTTGGGATCCATTTATGGGCCAATATTATACGTATATTTTTATTGTATAATTGTTAAGTAACTATACTATGCATATTTGTGTTCCTTGTATTATAAGCTTTATTTTGACCTATGAACTATTATTATACGATTTACCATTCTTGAATTATGCCCTGTCTATTAATTACTACCTCCCACATTCACAGCCACATTTGGCTAATTCTTGTGCAAATTTTGTTTCCCATTTTATGGTACGATGTGGTCTGTTTGGTTGGTATATGAACCCAGTATGTTTGAAATACATGATTCATATGTCAGGGGCTGATATTGATGTTCTGGACTTAACTAGTTGGGCTAGGCACGAAGCAAGACCGATAAAGACTCTAGACTGCCCGTACGGGGTTTTATGCATCATTGGTCCGATCGATAAATTACTATTCTCTAATTAGCGGTATCATCACGTTATACATTAACAGAGGCACATACGCCACAAGTTGTAAGAAATTGGAATCAGCCGTAAGTCCCCATTTGATCTATGTTTCATGTTATTTAATACTCATTAGCACAATACAACTGTGCTCTTGAAGGAATCGATGATTTTAGTCAAAGAAGAACAAGTGTAGCTTATTAAAAATATTGTTATTATATATTCATTACTTTTAATCCAATGAAAACGGCGTCACTACTAAGGGTTTGTGAAGATTGTTGAGTTTCGTGGTTAACATCACAGATTAATCTTAGTTAGACAACCATTAAAAATCAGGAAGTATTGTATAGTGATCTCGTTTTAATATGAGATGTCATAGCAATTCACACCCATGACCCACATCGAAGATAAAGTCGAGGATCTTCAAATCACATTCCGAACACTTAAATTCGACATGTAACTCATTACATTCTAGATTAATCATCTGAAAGTTAGGCACTCTTCTAGAGACCTAAAGGTTTTGTCTCCTATCCCACTTCTGATGAATCCCATACGAAGACGAAATAGCTGTTCAATCCTTTCTATTTCTTAATGGTTGCCTAATTAAGATTGGTCAATGATCCAAATTATGAAAAATTGTTTGCTTTTTTTGGTAAAACGAATGTGTAGTAAGTTTTTTAAGAACACCACTTTTAAACTAAAACCGAAGTCTAAATGTCTTAAATGAATTATTTCAATAAACGGAGTGATTAACTGGAGTAAAAAACTTGAATATCAAGATTGACATTGCCTAACTAATAAACTGTGTACTACTAACAGATCAACGGAAGAAGTGAGAAGTTTCAGTGATTGTTTACTTAACTCTTTATCTTCGATGACACTTCAATCACTACGAGAAGGTAAGTCCAATTGTAATGGTATCGGAATCTTTATGATACGGATAGGTTATTCAGTACATTAACATTTATGTTTGAGATTAGAAGTATTAGTAAAGAGTCTTTAAATTATCTTCAATAATTCATGAATCATTTCAAAATGTTATATACATTTCACTTCTATCTGTTTTATGCTATTTCCTTCCACGAAATCTAATGGCTGTTTTATCATAAGATTTTGAGAATCGTTCATATTCGTCTCTCATTCTTAGTTCTGTAATTTTTATCAATTTTAAGCACCTTAATAATTGACTCCGGATGCGGGTTCATGGATGCACAGCGCTGAGGAGTCGCTTGCTGGGACGAAACGATCATTCAGTGCATTCACGTTTTCAATTATTTCAACAGTGAAAGCTTCATTATTCGTTCTAGTGTTTTAGGGTTACGTACAAAAACTCAATCTCTTCTACTCTTTAAATCTGATTGATTCATCAAAATAGTACACTTTTAATAGATTATATTCATTGAACTAAATAAATATTTATCATTAACTTGACTTACCTTGACGTACAAATACTTGATTGACATCAAGCAATAAATCACATCCATCTACAATCATACGTTCAATAGCCAAATTTTTGCGTATATTTTCTGTTTCACTGACCTCATCGTGCATAATCTGTGAATTGATTAGTGAATAATGATAATATAATTAGACATTGTCAAGTTATTGGTCTATTCAGTGATAAAAGTGACTATTATGTTATTGATCCTTGATAAATTGTGGGTTTTTAATTCACTTGATCATTTTATTAACCAAAACATGAGATCAGTGCTTGAATGAAGTCACTAACTTCTGGTTTGAGTCATGTTAGTAGATGCAGACTACTTGGTTGGGGTCCGCGTGACTATCGTAACCAATGGTTGGAGACTCTGTGTGACATGGCTCAGATTCGATCACAATGGCGTCGATGTATACATTCTCTGTCTTCCCTTAAACTATGAGATTAAAATCGCTTTATATCTTTCTTTCTATGAACTAATTATTTCTTCCTGTACTATATCCTTATATGAAATCTTTCTTTTATAAATTACAACCATTGAATTAACTACTTCTATGAATTCGGTGTTCATGTTGTTTTGCTAATGAGGTATGGCAACTTGGACCGATGCATATATGTGCCTGGTCGTAAGTTGTAGCTGACTGACTGACTGATTTTACTTAATAAACAGATATAAACGAAAATAAATACTGAATAGTATTGCTAGAGATAGAAATGGGAATAAAATTATTGAGTTCATGTTAAGAAAAGAAAAAAGAATTACAACTAATGACTGTCTTGTTTAGTATTTCATGACCATTATATATTATTAAGCTATTGGAGACTATTTGCAAGAAATCATGGACGTAGAGTTCAAAAACCGTAAAAAGGGTCAGTATTTGGATGATTGCAGCTATGTTATTTTGATGAGTATGAAACATATATCTACGTTTACCTGCCAACTATCCTCAATTAATCAACATCGTAACACAGTGTTGTTAGGATAGTCGGATAAAGAGACCAATAATTACCATGTTAAGTTCAATGGTGTCCTTGAACCTTAAATGTACATTTCTTATTGGTCGATGTTTATTTCACTTGTTAAATATTGTACAAATGTTGTTTCCTATTTTATGGTACGATGTGGTTTGTTTGCTTGGTATATAAATAGAGTATGTTTGAAATACAATGATTCATAACCCAGAGGCTGTGACTTGTGTTCTTGACTCAACTGGCTAGGACAGACAGCGAGGCAGGGCCAATCAGGGCACTAGGTCGTCCGTACGTGTTCTCCGTGTCACTGTCACAGATCGCGATCGATAATAACGCTGCGTATCTAAAACCTGCAGTCACACACACCCGTTACAACAAGTGTACACAATAATGAGTTGTTTAGACTAGTTATTTCATTGTAAACTGATTGATAAAGTTGGTTAAAAGCATACAACACTAACGACTTTAGACAACTTGTAAGTCAGTCAAGAAACATTACCTAATTATAAAACAATCAAATATACAAACCAAACAAATGACAGTGGGATAATAGATTCCATCTGAATTATTAACCCTCACGTGTCAAATTATCTCTCGTAGTAAAGGTAAAAGGTCAAATTTATATATTCGGAGTAGTACTGTGAGTTAGGCTTGTCACTTTAGAGAGTTTTCATCACCAACTGACTTCGGTTACCATATAAAAAGGTTGATATTAGGTATTAACAGTTAAACTGAAACTTTCATTTGGGTTTACTCATTAGGGTCAGGGTTTCCAACACAAACTGATATCAGTTAATTAATGTTAATTATAATTCAATCCATTGTCACCTTCCTATTTACTTGGAGTTGAGATTCATAGTGAGAGTAAGAAAGGGAGAACATTACCTGACTTCATTGAATGATATGAAGTACTTAGTCATACAATCAGTTTTAAGAGTATTTCTGTATTGTAATTTAGCTCAAGCACTATGTAAAATTCACTTTTTCAGTTGTATAATAGATATTTTTATGAATTCCAAATATTTCAAGAACCAAAATACTGACAATTTTCACTTCATCAGTAATGATAAATACACACTACCTATTAATGCATTTTAAACTTTGCACAAAATACATGAGACTGAGATGATGGAAAGAAAAATCAATTTTCGATTGATTTACTCATTATGAGTTTTATTCAATATGACATCCGTTTTCATTCAACATGAGGATCATTCAGTGTAGTATTTGATTTGTTTTCCCATATTCTTGTATTCAGTTGACATGAACTATGCTCACAGTCTGTGATTTGTTATAACTGAGTATGTGGTTTCATCCTAATTATTAATCAAAATGTGTGTACAATCGATATATAAATGAGTGTATTTCAGACTATTTTGATTCGTCGTCGTCATAGTGTTTTGGGGCTAACAAATCATCACTTATATCAGTCTTTGTGTTCCTACTTTCCCTCGTTCTGAGTATAAGTGATCAGCTTTTTTTCGGCACAACAATCGCGACGACAGAGAAGTTCTAAGTGGTTAACCCAAAGTTGTCACTCTACTATACTTCTGTCATAATTATCCAGATCAAATGGTCAAATGATGTACATCATTATGCCAATATTTTGCATATGAATTGTCCATGTTATATGAATAATTATGAACTCTTTATTTTTTTGTTCAATACATTATTTCATCATTGTCTAAAAGGCAATGCAGTTTTCACAAGTATAATTGCCAGGTATTTTTTGGATAGTGAACATAAAATAGATTTATTTAATGCCTTTAAAATAATTAAAAAATAACAAAACCCCTTCTGATACTAATCAACATATGCTCATTAGTGACTGGCTTCAAGAGATATATCCTGGAGTTCTAGTGAGAAGCAGTGACCAGTGGAGTTAAACCAGGTCTGTTGTGAGATAGCAACTCACTGATGACAATGGTGGATGTATCGCTTAATTACGTGGATTAGTTGAAGTTAAACACTAATACTGTTGGACGCCAGCTCAATGAGACCGATAGGTCCTGGGTTCAAATATCGCTAGGCGAAGTCGTGGATTCGCACTGCGGAGGAGTCCCACAACAGGACGAAACGGCCGTCCAATGCTTCCAGGTTTTCCTTGGTGGTCTAGCTTCAATTGACTCATTATCTCAGCTGTTGAAATAACATTAATTTCTACTCAGTTTCTTGGAGGCATTAAACAGAAAGATTAACACTAAGTCATGATGAAAACAAAAGTCTAATCAACCCTAGTAACTTAGTGTACTTTTAAGCTTAGTAATCTCTTAAGTAATTTATTACTTTCCATCTGTTGTGAATATTTTTCCCAGGACAAAGTTTTTTCTATACTGAAAATCAGTGTAATGAATTAAAGTATTAGACTATCCTATTACATTTCTATTTGAGTATCAAAACTACAGGGAAGAAGTGATAATTCACTTTATTCTCACAGAGAAAGTGTTACTGTTTTAGTGGCCCTATATCTGATCGTATTATGATCGTATGAATGATTGCTATCGAACTATACATGTTGCCAATCCTCGTATAAAATTATCGACTTAACTCGCGTTGGTGAATAATGGAATTAAAATAAGTCAAATACGAGAATGGATTTGATATCATCATTGACAGACAATCAGGGATACGGAGTGAACAAAGCGAAATTATATGACGCCTTCTCTGTTACGCGTCATTTTGTTTTGTTTCGATGTCCGATCAACGATTATATGAAATATACGTATTCAAATATCATTCTCGTATTTGACTTATTTAATTCCATTATTCACTAACACAATTTAACTCAATGATTGTATACGAGGATTGATCATATGTATATACACCGATAACAGATGACAAACGATCTAGTTGGAGTCTTATTTATTTTAACACATAGATATTGGTACAAGGAGGCATCAAATACATATGCGCTACACAAATATCATTCGACATTTGTAAGGGCTGGGATACTGCTCGGGTGCCCAAACTGAAGCAGGTGATTTTCTTAGGTGGCCACACCTCGAGCCTTCGACCTGAAGGTTTGATCCACAAGGCAGTGGAGCATCGTGAGGAGATGCAGTCCCATGGAAGCCGGTGACCAACAATAGGTTCATACGCCATTTGTTCCATAGGGATCCTGGAGCTCATGTGCACCATCGGTTTGGAATCCGGTTAAAGCGCCGGACATTAGCTTTTCGTCCCCTTATTTCCGTAAACGACACCCGTGGTGCGAGAAGGCAGTGAGTAGGACTTCCCTTTTCATTTCGAGAGGGAGAGCGGACTCACCCTACTCTTGGCCGTATCAGAGCATTTGGGGGATCACTGAGCCACTAAACTGTGACATAATCTCATAAAAACACCAAGTATTATTGACATTGAATGTCGAGTTAAAATTACCACATATCCATTTTATCATATTTAGTCGAGTAAAAGTACTTTACGCATTGATCTCTAACAAGTATTTCCTGGAGTTTTAGTGAGAAGCAGTGACCAATGGAGTTCAATCGTATCTATTGTAAGATAGTAATTCACTGAAGACAATGATGAATATGTCGCTTAAATTTTATGGATTCATTGAAGTTAAACAATAACATCGTTGGAAAAGGTCTAAACGATAACTTTCTCTCTCCCTTCTATAAAGGAACCAAATAAAAAAGAAAAGAGAAAGAACCTTCGATTTTTTCTTCTTAAAGTAAATAAATAAAAAAACAATTTTTTTGGTATTTTCAAAACTTTTGATTAGATCAATCAATACGATAAGCTTATATAGATGCCTGTAGGTCAAATTTAACCAATAAGAGATCAGATATAAAAGACTCTAATGATTGATTATTATTGGGAAAATAGTCTAAATTTCATTGGTGGTTTCATTTAAATATGCATATAATTCTGTCTATAATTTTCCACATACACACACACACACAAAAAAAAATCAATATTCATTCGACAATGACTGAAATCTAAATGATAAAAGGAATACGGTCATAAGCTTGGAAATTTACCTTAGTTACTAAAAAGAAAATAGATGATGATTATGGGTCGAAATGGTTCACTTAAACTTATCATTTTAAAGCTAACCGTTTATGTAACATATGCATTGAGTTAATAAACTATTTTAACTTAATTAATTGATACTTTGTATTGTTTTTCAGATGTTTCA